CCAGTTGAAGGTCCGGTAGATGGGCCAGTTGAAGGACCAGTCGAAGGACTCAGTAGAGGGACCTGTGGATGGACCAGTAGGTGGAACTGTACTCGATGTCTCTGTAGGACAATCGGCAATCCCAACAGAAATTGGTCAAATTGAGGCTTATCGCACCAAATCTTTTCGAAAATCTCTAGCGACTTCTTGAATTCGGCGTATTTCTTGATCTTATGAACCAGGTTGACGTGTACACCTGGAGCACCCAGCGGCGCTGGCTGTAACTTGGAATTGAAGTAATCAGCCCAGTTGCCTACTGGCTTGTAACCAGAACCCGACGAGCAGCCCCAAGCAAATTTGGATGGGTACACGGACAGCCATGCTTCATAAGTCACAGAAGCCTTGATGTCAATCTCTATGTCAATCTCGATTTGCATACTAAGTGGCAAGCAGCATTTGCCATGTTTCTTCTCAGGTACAACAACAATAGTGGAGCTCCACTCACACCAGTTAGAGACCAAGGACTTTTCACCTTCAATCAAACTGTAGTCCTTTCCCGTACCAGTGCCGGTAATCTTAAGCGCGTTGATCAGAGACGTTTGCAAGAGGGAGCTGACCTTCTCAGCCTCCAGCACCTTAAAGTTACACAAAACCCCGTATTGGCCGCCCTTTTGCTTGGTGACCTGAGTGACTGCAAGAGCAGCCTTAGGGTACACATTACCACCTCTTTTGAGGATCTCATGGAGTGATTCGTCCGTCAGTCTTTTTTGGTTGGCACCTGCCTGCACCACATTTGACACAGGACAGAGATGACCAGCGGAAGTATCTTTACCACCATCGGTATACTCGAACAAAGCTCCAAAAGTTGCTGTTGCGGGGTTTGCCCACAACACTAGCGCAAGTAAAACAGCAGACGCTGAATGAACTTGCATATCTTTTGGGTATCAAGCGTAGAGAGAAAAAGGGAAACCATTGCAAACACCAACCTTTATAAGTTACTCACTAGCTTCTATTTTTTTCTGACAAGGCTTCTTCTAATGTTAGAGACCACAATGGACATTGTCGCAAATACAGGTTGCATGTCCTCAATAAACAAAATAAAGTTTGCAGTAGGCGGCTCCGATACGAGTAGTTTTGCGGCCAAAGCTGAGGAAGCTTGTGCGAAGAATCGGAATGCAGGAACGGCTTAACTTTGCCGAGAGGGGCGCGCAGAGAAAATAAAACGCGCCGAAGGTTCGCTCAGGCGCCATGCAGAAGATCGCGACATAGTCCTCGTAACCAGGGCCATTATTGCCTCATACAAGTGCCTCCTAACCAACATGCGTCTGCTCTGAATTATTTTCTGTGCTGTAGGGGTGCAAAAGGGGAAAGGTACGAAAAGATGGGCAAAATGACTCAAACGGGAATTTCGTTTTTTTTAATAACATGTGAGCAGATAGGATTGCAGGTACTTTGCGCTTTCCAGTGGCTCGTTTTCGTGGTTTGCATCCACCATGGTTGCTGGACTGAAGTATGGGACAGAGTTTGTCCGTGTTGGAATGGTACAATCTGCAGATGCGCCGTACACCGTAGTAGAGTCACATCAGCCCATCTTTGGCCCTTACGGGTTGTAGTTGTAGTTGTCATTAGAAGAGTGGATCTAACACTATTGGCCATTGTACTGTTTTACCGTCTAGTCGTGTATTGGAAATGCACATGTCGCAATCCATGCACTAGCGCACTAACCCTTCAGTGCTTCGGCCAGACCCATCGCTATCGTAGTCTACTGATGAGAGTGCATGTTTCGAAAGTTTGTTCTGGCGGTCTGCAGCGGTGTGCAGCGCAAATGTCGGCTTGTCGTCAGACCCTGATGCGCCTGATTCGTCCTCGGGGTCACTTTCCGGTTCAGCTTCCGATCCGCCTCCTTCGCTTTCGGACTCGCTTTCCGCGTCGCTTTCTGATTCGCTTTCTGATTCACTTTCTGATTCGCTTTCTGATTCGCTTTCCGACGTGACGAGTCCAGAATCCAACTCCTCCTCGGACTCAGACTCCAACTGAGAATCTGCGGCAGACTCGGACTCGTCGTCCAGATCTCCGAAGAACTCGTCGAGGCTCTGAAGTTTGCCCCGTGCGGTGGGTTTCAGCGCCTGAAGTGCGGGGGCGTTAACGCCAGTTTGTTTCGCCTGAGCACTCGAAAAGTGCGTGCTCGAAGCGTGCGTCTGTGGCTTCTCACGCTCGGCCCGCACGCTCGAAGATGGTAGCGTGCTCTGGTCTGCCCAAGGCTCACATGCGAAAAATGCCCACAGCTGCTGGGAGGACGCATGCGGCGCGGGTTTAGGCGCTTGTAGAAACAAAGCCGCGAGCTCGTGGCCCGGCGCATCCATCAATGCAGTGAGCATGCGCGCCCGGTCTCGCGTGTCGAAGGCGGTGTCATAGCGCGCCAAGTGCATGGTGTGAAGGAACATTGCTTGCACGCGCGAAAACCGATCACTGCGGTGTTCCTCTTCGCGGCGCTGGAGCTCATACACATAGCATTTGGCTGCAAGCATAAGAAGTTCTAGACGCACACGCCGTGGCTGCAGAGCAAATTCAGGAAGCATGCGCCGCAAAACGTCTGGAGCGATGGTGTTGTCGGCGGCCAGCGTGAACTCGCCCACCATCCACACGATCGAAGCACGGGCATCTTCGTCAAGCGCTGAGGTCACCAATTGCGCGAGACGGTACACTGCGCGCACCGAGCGCTGCGAGTGTTCGCGCTGAAGCAAAAGCCGCACCACCGTGAGCACGTCGCGGGCGGGCGCGCGCTGCACTTCGCGCAAACACCACCGCAACACACGGTCGCCCGAAGTAGGGTCTGCCAAAGCTGCCACGCCCAAAGCGCGCACGGCGCCACGCGCCACTTGGGGCGAGCCATCGACGGCGCAGTGCTGTAACTCGCGAATCACGTTGGCGCCGCCCAAAGCCAGCAAAACCTCGAGTTTGGCCGTGGCAACATCAGCGTCGTCGCCCGGCGACACAAAAAATTTGCATGCACTGGGGCGGAAAAGCTCCGGGACCGCCGCGGAAAGAGCCTGAACCGCCTGCAAAGCGCAGGTGCGCAGCATTCCAGTGCCGCATGCCATTTTCACAAGGACACGGTCAAAGCCCTGCGATACAAGGTGGGCGGGAGTCCCCACTGAAACAATGGCACGAACCGCGCTCAACACGAGGGCAGGCAGCCTCGCATATGCCAAAGGTGCGAGCGACTCGAGAAACAACGTGAGGTCCGAGTCGAGTGCCCAGCCGTCTGCCAATCGCGCCAGCTCAGGCAAGTCTGTCCATGCTTCTGGAAGCAATATGGTGGTGCCATCGTGAGAAAGCAGTGGACGGGGCAAGAAGCGCCGGCCATACGCTGCCAACATATCTACAAGGTCGCCCTGGGCCCATTCGTCAAGCTGGCTCAAGATCCGCGTGTAGCGGCGGAAATTGCGGTGGAGCGGCGCCCATGCGCTTTTGGCGGCAAGGTCCCGCTGCACATGCCGAAACACCTTGAGCGCCGCCGCCACCACCTGCGGCGCCAGGTCGTCGAGCAGCGCCGATAAAAGGCGCGCAAGCTGTTTGCGGTCCGCGCCCGCCACACGCCAGGCTTTTCCAATAGCGAGCGCCGCGCCCGCGCGAACTTCAGGCGCCAGGTCGCCCGCAGCGCGCCGAATACAGAGCACAACCAAAGATGCAATTTCCGGGATCCGGATGCCTCCAAGCGTACGGATGGCTGCAGCCCGCGCTACAGGAGCCTTGTCGCCGAGTCTTTTCTGCACCGAATTGATCGATAGGAGCGCCGTGTCAGGCTCGGCCTCCGCGTACTTCTGAAGGTACACCAGTACCAGTGCCCGTACACGTGCATTGTCCAGCGTAACGTTTTTCACCACGTCTGCAAAATAAGGTGTAGCGTCTTCGCCTCGGGCCATGAGCCCAAGCACACACTTCATTCCGCTGAGAACTTCAGCGTCAATGCGCGAGCGAAGTAGCTTGGCAATGTGCTGCGGCCGATGGGCTGCCGGGGTCTCTGTGAGGCGTGAGGAAGCGGAAACGGCGGCCTCCAACGTGAGATCGCGCGCCGAGTTAAGCATAGACGAGAGACGTGAAAGCGGATCTGCCATGGCTTATTCGTATAGAGCAGAACTTTGAAAGCGCGGTGAAGTTAGGTTGGTGGTCGGATGTCTGGGTGTGAAGTGGGTGCAAACTACAATTAAGTACTCTTCTAAGTAAAAACCAAGATCTATGAACTGAGAGTGGCTACTAGGAACTGATTCAAGGAAAAGCAAATGGACTGCTGCAACCACACCTCCTTATCATTTTTTTTCCATCTTCAACGGAAGTTCGATGGACTTGCTATGGAATGCGCGCTCGCGCTTCCACTCTGGCAGATCTCGAGGCGATTGAAAGATTGGAGATTACACGAAAGTGAGATGGAAAGCAAAAAAAAAAAAAGCAACACCAACTCTAAAGGAAGTAATTATAGAATCACGACATTATCAGGTTACAACGTGCTACATAACTATAGATGTAAACATCATGAGACTCTGATTTGGTTGATTGCAGTTCAGCAACTTCAGCCTAGGATGGGTAGTTTTGAGTTTCAACAATAGCCTTCGCCTCTACAGAAAGCCAGCTTATGCATCTATAGCTCGGGTAAGTCATATTAGCCTGAGGTATACGTCCGTTGCAATTGAAGCATTTTGCGCTTTTGGCTGGGAGTCCAGACCGAGGCATCATTATACTGTGCTTCACAACCACCTCCATTGTGCAGTCAAGTGTTTAGGCTTTGACTTACTTTAGTGCATACTGCTACATGATAACCGTCATAGCAGAATCGTCACCCTATTATGATCGTTATTCACCAATAACGGTGCGCCATTCCCAGTCTTTTTTTCTGTGTACTATTCACATGGTCAGTCGAAACTACATACCGATCTTGTGCGAATATGGTTGACTGGAGATGGATCGCCTTGTCTATATTTTTTTTCTGTGCCCATTTTGCGGAATGACATTCACTTTCTCCATTAGCGGATCATAAATCGCTAAGCAATAATGGCCTTCTTGGCAGAAGGTATTTAGACTTTTCTGCATGGCGCCAATACATGGTCTGGATAGAGAATTCGCTTATTATTGCTATACGTGGCCCATGCATGTAGACACAAACCATGCATCTATTTCCGACACTCGCTCGAACGTCCGACGCCAAAATATTTCTTCGTCGCTTTATTTGCTTAACTTACTCGCAGCAACCTTCATTCTCTTACCCAAACCAACATTTTTCTTGTAGGAGATGTATTCCTCGGGAAAAAATTCCCCGATGGTGGACTGCGTGCCTTCAGCCTTTTTCCTATTCATGTCCCGTATTAAAGGCACCATCACTTCATCTACTCTGGCTTGGCTCCATTGCACATTGTACATAAGAAAGGATCGGATCTGGTCCAAGCTCGGCGTTCCCCATTTGAAAGCACTATCATCGCGGTCTACTTCTGGTCTTTTGTAAGCATCTCTCACAACTGAACTGGGGAATCCATCGGGTAAGAAGAGCTTACCATTCTTAATTCTGGTGAGAAGCTTCTTCTCTAGCGGCGTGTACTCTTGCTGGGGCCGTTCTGCACTTTTGGCGTGCCTGTCAAACCATAATTTAAAGTTAGAAAGTGTGCCAAATTCAGCTAAGATCTCCATCGCCATCACAGGACCAATGCCCTTAATCCCTTCTGTGTAATCACTTCCCAAAAGCATGGCAAGTTCAATGAGCTTATCTTGATCAAGGCCGATTTTATTTTTGATATCCTCTGCAATGTAGCATTCCACATATTGTTTCTGATTGAACATGTTCTTGTAGATGCGACTTCCTCCAAATAGAAAACAGTCGCTATCGTCCGTGACAATACCATCTACAAGCCCCATACGAAACAATTCAGCACATTGTGCTTCTGCCTCCATTGGAGCAGTGATGTAAGGGATGCCGAAACGTTTCAATAATTCCTGTACGTCACGAATCATCGTCTCAGTCACTTCATCCAGATCTCTTTTGGCTTTTTGAAGTTTTTCCTGAAGAAGCTGTTCGTCGGTGATACTCGAATTAAGCGGGGTATCTAATTTAGCGCTGAGTTCACTTCGCAATTGTTCGTGTTGATTTTCCTCCTGGTGGAGATTCCGTATAAGCTCATCTTCGTCGTTTTCATCGATTTCGTAAACTAGGCGATTATTTTTTGACGCTGCTGAGGTTTCGAGCTCTGCCACCTCGCCTTGAGACTCACCCCCTGCAATATTATCTGGGGAACTAATATTTTTCTCCACCATGCTTATTTTTAGCTCTGATGGTACATACTCTTGTCCGACATTTCGGCTGCGTTTTGCGACTTCTTGTCTCTCTGCGTGAGGGCTTTTTTTAAGTCGATCTGCCTCCTCTTGTCCAGCTTGTGCATGTGCCGGTTCAATATTCTCAGGTATTGTGTTTGATGATTTCTCTGTGTTTAATGATTTCTCTTGCTCGGTAATAGCCTGGTCGTTCTCGGGCATTTTCTTGTTCCACGATTCTCCCACAATTTCTAGGTCTGAGTCACTTTCGGAGCTTTCGATAATTTTCTGAGCTTCGGCCCACGGAATAAGCCCAACTTCTTCATTTTCATCAGCATCCTTCTGAGAGGCATCCACAAACATGTGACTGTGCACGTTATCAATTGTGTTTCGTTCATCAAACCACGATGGCATATCCCACACCTTTTTAGACTGAGGGTCCAGCCCATCATTGACGTCATCGATATTATCCGTGGAGACATTAGCACTTGAGAATTTTTCATTTATTTCGTCCTCTTCTTTATTGTGGATATCATTGACTTGACTTGTATCGTTGTTCTCTTTATTCTCTCTTTTATCATTAACGCCCTCCTTTGTTTCATTCTCCTTGTTCTCACTTTTCTCATCCTGGTCCTTCTTATCGTCATTGTGGCTAGGCCATAGAATAGAACGTCCAAAATCATATTCAGGCATCGGCTCAGCCTGTAGTTTCTTGTACTCAGCTTTGGATTCATCAATGGCCCGTTGTAGTTGTTGTTTGTCCACCTGCTCAAGGCGCTCTCGCATTGCTTCTTGATTATTTATGACTTCTGAGTCAATGTCTGCGATCCTATCCATGCTGTTTTGCAATACCAATTTTGCAGTTTGTCCCGGAATTTCAGTATCTTCGTAGTCATGTTTGAATTGGTCATATATGGACTCAATCACTGCAGCAGCATCTGTCTCCGTGTCCAGGTTTTCCAATTTTACGTCCTCCAATTCTTCCAGATCCAGGTCTCTGTCCAGTAATGCTGCCGCACCTTCTTCCGTCTCATCCACAATTACGGGCTTTGTGTCATCTTCTCCCAAAGAAAGCGTCCAGCCATCTTCGTTTTTGACAAGAGCATACCGAGTATCCTTATCACCTGCAATTCTACGAGTGGCATTGCCTGTATCTTTGTCCATTCCACTCACTGTCATCAACTGCTGTGTGTAAAAATTTCGCTTTTGCACCTGCTGGATCTGAAAACGAGAAAAGTCCCGGGAGTTAGGAAAGAGTTTTTCGAGCTGCTGCTTTGAGTACCCCAAACGCAAACGTGACCGGAGGCGGAGATGCGATAAGATCATATATTGTGTAGCCATTGGTAACTCGGCAAACTCGGGCAGAGAGGGGTCAACGCTATCGATGGGAACTCCATCCACCACATCAAAAGAGGCATCTTCACCGTAGTGTTCGTATTCGCTCTCGGGCATGATACGTGCATCATTTTTTGACACGGTGAATTGTCGAAGTTCAGGCAAATGGTATTCGTCCTTCCTAATGAAACGGTTATCAGTTCCAGCCTGACCAGTTTCTTTTGGTGGTTCCTGGTCGCGTTTATGTTCGGGATGAAGCACCGGAAGGTCTGAAAGATAAACGTTGTCGTTAGCTTGTGCACGCAGCAAATGGATTGCAAGCAATTTTTGAGCCGTGGTTTGAGCATTCTCTGCGTTTCCCAGCCGCCTCTCGCGTCGCTTAAGGATCACTTGCCTCTTGAGTGGTGGGGCGCCACCATCGAATACGAAAAGCGGCAAAATACCAAAGTATAGCAACTTGCAAATACGTCGGAAGAACCCCACAATGTGCAGCTGGCCAAGTTTATTCCCGTCCTTATCTCTCACTGCTTTGAGGAATTGGTAGATCCAAATGGACGCATCCACCGCTAACTTTTTCCGAGAAAGCGCCTCGAGCTTGACAGGCCTAGCTGCTGGTCCAACAATATCCCAGAGCGAAGTGACTCCCATGTGCCAGAATTAGTGTATTGTGTATTCCCCTTGTCTCAAAAATTCTCTCTTTTGCTTTTCGGCTATATTCTCTTTATCCCCCCTTGTCTGACGTTATGTTTCCGCTTTGCGTGATGTAGTGATAATCTATTGCCATGAGACTAATCTCGCGCGATCTGAACATTTAATATGTGATGCAGTACTGATGCAATTCGAACCCGCTGATGTTAGTTGATTCATCCTATATGTTGAATTCACAACATTGATAAGGTAATTTCGGAAAAAAAAAACCAGTTGTGATGAGAATAGGGGACACCTGAATAATATTAGAATCTTGTTGGTTTGGCCGCTTTGATCATTGCTTTAGGACAATGGCCAGTGTTGTTCTATCACTTACAAGAAGCTGGAGTCCCTAATTCTATCCGTATAAATCCCTTCAGACGAGGCTGCTATTATATTCGAGAAGTATGGTATAGACGTCCTTGCTTCTTGGTAAAACTGCCAGCACTCATATCTTCTCTTATTAGTGCAGTGCAATAAAGTATTTTGGCGCATACAAAGTGTTTGCTACCATTTTTAGTTCAATATCATAATTCATATTCCATTAATTACATAAACTACGGTGCTGCTTCATCTATTTCTATCGGCACCGTTACTGAACATCTCTTCGCTTCTGATACAGCAGGATGTCCGGGTGTAGGACTGTTCTTGTGCGCTTGGGTGCAAAATGTTAAATCAATACCATGAACTACTCTTTCGCCCTACAACCCGAACTTCCTCGTGTAGACCAGGAAAATGAGGGAGGTAGCGTCTTTGGCCTCGTAGTTTCGAGTCCTACTAAAGCCAGCCCAGCACGCCTGCTTCCTGTCGACTTCAACCCACGTCTGGCCCTTGGCATGCCTTTTGAGGAAAAGATCAATAGCTGGTTGCGCAATGTGCCCTGGGTAAGGTTGGGCGAGGATGTTTGGGTGCTGGATTGTTATCCTGGGCATGCTTCAAGTGGTCTGGAGGACGTTAAAAGCACCCCAGATAACCAGGACATTGTGGAACAACAGGCTCGCCAAATCACAAGAATAGTAACCCACAATTACCTTCACAATGGCGAGAAGGCCATACGAGTTTCGGACCCTGAAAGCGAGTCTGAGGACTACCTTTTTGGCTATGCAGAGTCTGAGTATCTGTAGCTTACAAATGGAAGTTTAAAACTTCAAATGCATGATAGTTCACTCGATCATTCCTGGCGACAATAGATTGTAAGACAAGGTAACATCTTTCATCTGCGGTAGATGAAGGGGACTTTCGTAAATGTTTCTATATCTTAGTGCTGTCCTCGGTAACGATACGTCTTGAGATTTTAATTCACCACTACTATTGGAAAGAATCCAAATCACTCAAACCACTTTACAAAATACTAATGTTCTTAAGGGTAGATACGTTGAATTTTATAGACTGCTATCTGCCCATAACAGGCCCGTCCACACTTCTTTAATGTAGCCTTTTTTGTCTATTGCGTGCTTCCTACCTAAGGCTAAGTCTGGGCAATTGAAAATGAAATGGCACCTCCCTAACCAGCCGCTTATCTGAACCTCCTGATGCTTATCCATTAATTATATCCACACATCGAGCTCATCGAGCTGGTCATATTCAAGGCGTGGGTAGCAGGGCACAAGCAGATCGCAGTGTTGCACATATGCCGCATTGTACAATTTCCAGTAGGGCGTGCGCACCTTGCGGGCCGCATGGAAAAGCCCAGCCCAAACATAATTCAAATACACACCAGCACCAACTGCAATCCGCAACGCATCGAGTGCCTCCACCACACGCGATATCACATGCGGCAGCACCTCGTAAATGTTTGGAAGCACAAGATTCAAAAAGTGAACGAAAACAGGGTGGAGATCGGCGTGCACGCCGCGCGCGGCGCAAGCGAGTGCCAAGTGGCGCACCACGGTGGCGCCCGTCTGACGATGAACCTGGTCGCGGTCTGTGAGCGCATCCATGAGAAGTGGCGCCACGGCATACACATATGGCCGCGCGGTAGCGCCGTCAAGATACTCGAACATAAAACTGAGCGCCTTGAGCACACTGTTTTGTACATTCTTATCGGGCACACGGTATTCGTTCATGAGCGCTGGAAGCACTGTGAACGGTGCACAAGTGTCAGCCACTATGGCAATAGCCACGCCCGTACACACACGAAGCTGCCGCTCCTGCACCCGGAGGTTATCGAGTAACATGGCCAAAACGTCCTGGGGCCCTATGGTATTGGCAATGTGACCAAAGGTGGCATTGGCTGCTACACGAACACGGCGCCGTGTAGACTTGAGCATATCCAAAAGATCGTAGCACACACGCATCCATTCTTTGGCATTGATGGTGTCCGCACCAGTGCGAGCAATGAGACCGACCAAGAGGATACTTTGTTCCTGGACCTTATCGTGGCGGTTCTTCAAGATTGGCGTGAGCGCAGGCAAAAGCGCTGCGAGGGGCGGGTTTTCGAGCGCCATGCGCGCATTGGGGTCGAGCGCAGCCAAACACGCGCGCAATGCGCCAACCACCGACCCTAGCACTTCAGGGTACACTTCACCCAACAGTTCGTAGAAGAACACAATGAGGCGCCGCGCGGCGTCGGCACCAATGGCAGGTGCTACGGCAGCCGCCAAATCCGCAGCCTGTGCCCGCACCTCGGCATCTGCATGTTTCATTCGGTAAAGGACAGTGCTGAGAAGACCAGGCACGTGCGGTGTAAGCCGTGTGCCAAGGGCGCGGCACACGGCCGCCACTGCCGCCAAGTACACTGGGTGCGGCGGCGCTTGTTCTTGAAACGCCACGAGAACGGCGTCTAAAAGGGCCGCAGCCGCACGGTCGTCGAGCGCCGCCGTAGGGGAAACGTTGTCGGTCGTATTTCCGACGCTGACGATTTTGCCGAGCGCATCCGCAGCAACACGCCGCAAGCTTTCATTGGCGTCCTTTGCGAGCGGGCAAAGCTGTTCCACCACATACGGCACATCCAACTGCGCCAAGTGTACGGCGACAGTGCTCACGAGCCGCGCGGTCTGAGAGTCCAGCGCCGCGCGCCGCGTGGCCATGTGGCGGAAAAAGGGCGCCACGAGAGCCGTTCGGTACTGCGGCACGGCAGCGCGAGACAAGGGCAAGCTGGCCACCACCCGCAACACCGAGCGGCGCATATCGTCGTCAGGCGCGGCAAACTCGCGCGCCGCCACCCGCACAAGCTCGCGCGTATAGTAGGCAGCATGTTCTTCGTAGGCAGAGTCGTGGGCCAAAGCCGGAACAACTGCGGCCACACACCGCATGAACAGCGCAAGCGCACGCCCGCGATGCTGTCGAAGTGCCGCCCATGCAACTGGCATCACCGGCTCGAGCGCCGCAGCACCATATGGCCGCACGCTCTCGGCAAGTTGCGCCATGGTGCCCGCTGCTGCCAGCCGCACATGCACTGCTTCGTCGCCCAAGGCTGGCTGCAAAACAGATACAAGCGACGCTAGGTGCGGCAACACTGCCGCGCCATTGCCACCTCCAAGTAGAACACAAATGTGGTGGACTATGCGAATACCCGTGTGTCGGGCCGGGGCGCTTTTCAGCTTGATCACCGCGCGCACAAACGGCACCACTTTGGCGAGACCCAACGTGACGGCCACCACGGCAAAGACGCGCGCAGTCACGTTCCGCACATACTCGTCGCTGTGATCGAGGTCCGGGCGCAAGCTCGCCACAAGCGATGCAAATCCTGCCGACCGCGCAAGCGCAGCGATACAGTCTCGCGCCTCGAGCCGGAGCGTCATATCTGGATCAAGAAGCTGTGGGCCGACAGCGGTGACTATCTGGTGCACAAAGGGCCGTGCCTCTGCATCCCATGCTGGGAGACTGCGCGTGACAATCTTCCCGAGCACATGGCGGTCGCCTTCATCGAGCGCAGGCTCAAGCATGAGCGGGAGAACAAGCAGCAATATAGGCTGCGGGCCAAGTTCGCGCGCCTGCGCGCGGAGAGCACGAACTGCTTTGCGGCGCACAGGCGGGGCGCCATTTTTCGCGCGCAACACAAGCTCGGCCGCCCGAATTTGTGTGCGTGCTTCGGGGCCTTCGCGAGGCGCCTCCAAAAGCACAGCAAAGTGCCGCACATCTTCTTTGCGCATGGCAATTCCATCGTACTCGGGAAGCGTTTCTGCTGCGACAGGCGCAGAAATTGGCATTTCGTAGGCATCCACTTGCTGGGCGTCCGGCGGCGTCGCCTTGATGTAGCCTTTGGGGATAATGCGATCGAGCACGTCGTCTGTGAGTGGGATTGTCTTGCCCGTGCTTTTCTTTTCATTCTCGTTCTCCGGCTCACTTTTGAGTCTTTTCCGTGGCTCCATGCGCTCGCGGTACGTTCGCAGTTCCATGTCGACAGAGAGTCCAAACCGTTGGTCGTTGTATGACGGCTGCTGGGCCACTTCCACCGTTCGCTCCACCTCCAAAAGATGAGCAGGTGCTGTGTATGTGGCAAGTTTCTTCATGGCTAATGAGAGATGTGAGTTCTTGCTCTATTCGACTCAGGATAGGTTGTGCAATGCTAACTTCTTTGTTTGTCGTAAGGAATCCGGTGCTCGGGTTTATTGTGAATGCGATGAAAAAAAGAGTGATAAAAATACTATTCGAATCACACCCTTTGATTAAGATCTCTGGATTGGAAGCAGCGAAGGGGATTGGAACTTTCCCAGTGATGAGTATGATGAGTATCTCTACACTCTATACCAGTCAGATGAGTGCGATGCCCCACATACACTCCAACTACAGACAAGACCATACTAACACTAAACTCCATGTCGTCGGTGGTGCTCCTTTCGCGCCACCTTGCTCTAAAAGAACAGGCGTCCTTTTCGTTGGTGCTTGACTCGCTCGCCCAATCTGCTCATTTCTTGCTTTCGGAATTTGCCTTCCGCTCTTCAGGACCCGTCATTTACCTTTCATTCGAAACCACTTCAAAGCCACAATATGCTACAGAGTTTTTCGACTGTTCAGATGCATCTTTAGCCTCAGTGGTTAAGTTTGTGTCCAATTCCCTTAAAGACCAAAAGACTCGTGCGCTTGTTGTGGTGGACTCTCTAAATTACATTGATGCAAGTGACATGGCTTCGTTTGTACTGTCCATCGTGCTGCCGCAAGCATCTGTGGTTGCCTGTTTCCACAAAAATGCTCCACAACCTCAGTCTCCGGGATTTCCAGGGGCGTTGCCACTTTTGAGCTACATAGCGCAGGCTATTTTCGAAGTGGCCCCTGCCAAAATTCAAGATGAAGAAGATTTGTCGCTGGCAATCCAAAGACTCGAATTCCCGATTGTCGAGTCACTAAACCTTCCTGTTTTCAAGTTGACTTTGACAAACCGTCGGAAGTCCGGTAAGGCTCTCGTATATCAGTACATTGTTGATACTAACACCCACGAGTATACAGTGTTTAAGCCGCTGACCGAAGAAACAGTGGAAGACGAGCTGTTGCTCAAAGATTTGACTACATTCAACTTAACTACGAGCACCAAGCAGAAATTGGCGCGTGAGCAAGTGGAATTGCCTTTCATGGAAGCTCAAACGGAGTTGGGCAAATATGGTGGGGCTATTGTCTATGAATTCGAGAAGGATGATGATTACGATGAAGAGGATCCGTACGAAGATCCTTTTTAATGATGAAAATATCGTCGTACATAGGTCTATACGTACTGTTTGTTATGCATCTTCAGTGTCGATTGATTTCTCTGTAAACGAACCCATTATTGTTCCATGAGATCCACGGGAGCAAAAAATAGCCCGATGCGGGGCTCGAACCCGCAACCTTTTGATTGACCTTATGAAGTTTAAGAGTCAAATGCTCTACCGATTGAGCTAACCAGGCAGATAAGAAAGCCCGATGCGGGGCTCGAACCCGCAACCTTTTGATTGACCTTATGATGTTTAAGAGTCAAATGCTCTACCGATTGAGCTAACCAGGCTTCTTGTGGTCGAAAAAATACCGTTTTTTTAGATTGTTCGGAAAAGAGAAGAGCTATCTGTATATTATGAACATTGTTAACCTTTATGAAAATAGCGCATTCTAGATGGAAGATTTTGCCATAAGTGCATTACTTACTCCTTTCATAGTACAATAGTCCGTATTATATCTTTTCTGCTATCATGTTACAGACGTAGAATGTTACATTCGGGTTCACGTCCCTACGAACGTAATTATAATCCTCTTCCCTCAGTACATTCTTTTAAATACGTTTTCCACACATTGGGATTCGTTGGATCAATACTTTTTTCAAACTGTGGCGCTATCGAGACTCATATTAACCGGATGGCTGAAAAACCTATTCAGCTTCAGTAAAAACAAGCAGCTTCTTAAACTATGCAACATGGCTAGATTATTTTCTGAATGAACGCACTCACTTAACTTCAGCTTTGAACGCAACATTTGTGCGCTTTACTCACCTACTCCCCAAGACAGACTGAAACAATTTTTACCTACCTCGGAACAATTTTCAATGAAGTAATTAGATTAACTAATCCTTGAACCAAAGGGAAGTTGAAATAGTTACTTACAGTGAATTTTCCTGAAGGTTTGAATTTTTGTTAGCATTTGAACTTTTTTCTAAATTATAGGATATTCACTCATATTTTGCGAACATGCACAAACTTGTCAATTCCAAGTGGAATATATATTTCCAAGTACAATATATCTCCAAGTGTAATAAATATTTCCAATGCTAATAAATACGTAAAAAAAGATCATATATACATTAATCATTCCATGGTACATTGCGAGAATTCCGCAATTTTTGGACAAGTTCCAAGTCATCATTCTGCTTCGCCTCGGCAATCTTCTTGTCCACTCCAGATTCCCACTTTACCCAGTCGTTGTAAGAACGAAAGCATTTCGGACCCATGTCGTCTTCACATTCGCTAACCTCTTTGGTCGTACAGAACCATGTTCCTTTTCTATTCCAGTACCCTTTCCCTTTGAGTCTCAGGCAAAGTCGGAGTTCTTCAGTCGTAGGCACAGGCTTAGCCGTAAGAGTAGACGCCCGAAGTTCTCTTCTTTCCTGTTGCAAGTCTTGAAAGTATAGCACTGGCACCAAGAAGCGGAGCACGTCCCTTGAAATCCATCTCGTCAAAATGTCTACATCAAAGTGAACATGGTGGTGGTCGGTATCTAGGTTGGTGGCCTTCCGAGGAAACACCAGAGAAAACGAAAATGGCTTTTCAGGAACCATGCCGTTTAGCCGACCATAGTTGTAGCGAAAAACGTCAGAGTCTTTTGAAAGAGTTTCATCGAGCTTAGCGTAAAGGATTGGTCGTAGACCAAGAAAGTCGTCAGATTTTGCTAAAGCCAGCAACATAACATTTTCGTCTCGTGGAATGGTATCGTCGAACATACCAGGAGAAAGAGTGGAGTAAGGTTTCCAGAAGATCAGACCGAATCTCGGAATCCTAGAAAGGCAGGCGCGAGCGAGTCGCGTGACCTCGAGATGCAAACCTGGGGCATACTATCGATGCAGGTAGCTCGAAATATCATCCTGGGCTCTTTAAAATGGTTCATGTGAGTTTACTATTCTTTATACTATTATTTATTGTATAAGAAAAACTCTTTAGACAGAGGACTGTATTTAAAATCTAGTATTTGTAGATAAAATTGGTATATTATACAGAAAGGTGCAAGACAGTACAGGATGACATGTAGACTGTTCTAGTAACTTATGCTTTTTTGGCCTTCACTTTGGCCTTGAGCGCCCGCACACGCGCCTTGAAACGGCCTATAGCCGACTTCTTTGCCGCCTCTTCCAGCTCAGCCTCGGTAACAACTTTCTTCGACAACAAATTGAACACCGTGCCAAACGCTAGGGACATCACAGTGCATGTTAAAATTATAACGTTATAAGGCATCGAAAAATCAGGTGTTGGTAATGTTAGAAGTAAACTGTTGGTGCGCATCTCATACACATTTTCATTATTCTCCACCACCTTGACCACTGCTGGTGCAATGGAGAAACCGTGGTTTGCATCCGGTGGATACTCAGCGTACAACAATAATGACTTGTCAAAGTCGTACGTAAACGTGAGGTCACCAAAAGCAGGCAATTCGAACTCGAGCTCAAAGTGGCCAAGACGCTTTCTATCAATGGCTGGTTTATAAAATTGCGAGCGCACTTGCCCGGAACCAGAGACTTGAAGCGTGTGTAAGTATACGCGCATGAACCACGGCAATGCATCGAAATAAACGACAGAGACGGGCTTTGATGTAGGGTTCTTCACCCTAACTCTCATACCGCCTTTATCTTGAGAGTACCCAGTTAACGAGCGAGAAACACGCACAGGGGGTGCTGGAATCGGGCTCGTGACGCTCGAATTATGTGTCGAAAGGTGGAAATTATAGTCGTCAGGTTTTGTAAGAGAAAATGTTGTAGCGTCCTCTGAAAACGATATATTTTCAGGTGAAAGAACTTGGACGTCCCAGTGGGAACGGTCAAGGTCGAACGAGACGGTGCTAGAGCCAAGGCCACCTTCGAAGGCAGCACCTCTAATTGGGCGCCCGAACAAGGATGCCACGTCCCACTCTATTGAGAGGTTCGCGGCACTAGGGAAGCAGTGCCAGGCGTCATGATGCTTTGCCGGATCGCAGCGCAAACGGTCTCCAGGTATAGGCTTTGGTATGCCACCTTCTGTGCGGCGCCGAAGCAGACGTTCAATGTCCACAAGAGCGTGAATGTACTGGTCAAGCACCAAATTGCACGAGCCATCGGTACACTTTGTCGTGAGATCGACTCCCATGGAGTGCCACAAGGCATCGTAAACGCTATGGCCGTCCAACAACAGCGCCACGCCTGCTTTACCACGAGTTGGAAGCATTTTGAGGAAAGGCGTCAAGTTCTCCGTGCAAATTGGCTCGTCCGGAAGTGCTGCGCGCATAACGTATAAGCTATTCGTGCTGTTAGCCACAAAACCACCTCCTGTCGCATGGCGAGGGCGGGTTGTAGCTGCTTCGGTCACGAAGTTGAGCGACGCACAGAAAAAACCCAGGAGCAGCTCGGCCAAGCGGACCCAATTTTGCATGGCTTCAGCAGGAGAAGCTGCCTCAATAGCGGCCCACAATTCTACCCCTGTTCCTCCACTGTGGGATCCGTTGGCAGGCAACGCGCCCCAGGCGTCTGAATCCCAGCAACCCTGGGTAAAGCGCAAGTGTAACTCGCGCGTGTTTGTGGATGCCAAGACAGGTTCCAAGGCGCGGGGAAACGCACCGTAGTGCCGTGGTACACGGTCTGTTTGGTTGTAAAGAAGAGGCAACGGCGGCAGTTCTGAGTGGAAAGCAAAAGACGCGAGCACCTTGCTGCGGGGCAATGGACGCAACAGGAGGTTCTCCGTGTACTGGGAAACGGCACTATCATGCGAATGTGGCGTTGCAATCTCGTTTCCACGGTTTAAGGGTCTGGCGGCTAGCGCCAGCGCCACTAGAGTTAGAAGAGACAAGAAATGCATGGGTAGGAGGACAAAATATGCTGACGCGAACATGAGTAGGTTGGGATGTCCGGGTGGGAGATCCAATATGTGACATGGGTTGTAGAGATCGAGAGTGAAGCGACGAAGATGGTGGTATTCTAAGCTGAAAGGATTACACAAGGCATCCGAAGTATAGTCCTTGAGCAAGTATATAGAACATGAGGGTGTAGGGACAAGGTGTAGGGACAAACAGTGTCTTGATTGGAAAGATGGCAAGTACGAAGAGATAAACGCGGATGTGAGGAGTTGCAAACGGCACTACGTACTGCTGTAAACTTAAGAACGTCTATCTCTTCTCTATTTTTTTTTCTCGTACCTTTTATTTCTGTGTGTAAATGAAGAAATGTCTGAGGCCTAACGTGGATGCGAAAAGCAAAGCGCGAATGCCATTCTTCTTTTGAAGAGACCCACTCGAAGAATAACCTTCACCACTTCGTTTTATTTTCCAAACTGCTCACAGTTCCCACACAGTGACATCACTGCTGCGATAGTTCTTTTCTGGTATTACTGGTCTCTTCCCCAGCAAAACGGCAACATCGATATCCTACATATAAACCATTTGACCACAACAAACACATCTCCATCAACCTCACATAGTAACAGACTGAGACATTGAACCACAATGGATGCGCGTGCGCTCGAACCACACAAGGAGAACATCCAACCCCTTCCCGGGGGCCGTCCGGCGCTGAAACTCGGCGCAGCACTTTCTGCTCCACGTCTGGCCATGGAAACAGAAAGGGCACGGCTAGAGCGATCTCTTACTGCCGACGACTTGGACGACCCACTCCAAGCCTACTTGGATTACCTAGAATGGACCCACTGCCATTTCCCACAGGGTAACAATACAGATAGCGGGCTTCTTGCGTTGCTTGAACGCTGCACGCTGCACTTTCGCGATACAGACTACTACAAGAACGATCCACGGTACTTGAAGGTGTGGCTCGAATATGTGGGCTATTCGGACCAGCCACGAGATATCTTTGTTTACTTGGCGAAAAAACGCATTGGGCTGCAACTAGCGTTGTACTACGAAGAGTTTGCCCGCTTTCTCGAGGCCCAGGGCCATACGGGCGATGCGCGCACCGTCTTTGAGATAGGACTCGAGCGCCACGCAAGACCGGAGGCGCGGCTAAGGCGCAACTTTGCTCGCTTTTGTGCGCGCTCGCCCCGTGATTCGGCGCCCGGCGCGCCAGCATCTGTGCGCGCGCTCTTCCCTTCGACTCCAGTTCTGGACTTACGAACAGACACGGACTGTTCGTCTGGACACATCGCCCGACGCACTGTCGACCATTCATTAGAGACCAGCTCCGCACAAAAGAGTCTCCGCCGTGATGCGGTCTTAGAGAGCTTGCCAAAGCGCCCAAGGCTCGAGGTCTATAGCGATCCAGCGCCCATGTCGCTTCGCACTTCAGTATTTGCACCAGACCCGGACGCACGTTTGAACTCCGTAGCACTCCGCACAAAAGAGAACACGGTCGCCGCACAACCGTGGGTTGGCCAAGTGCTTACCCAGAAACTCGACCGTACCAGTCTTCCACGCTTCGAAGTGTTTCGTGATCCCAACGAGGCGGCTCTGCGTAACTTTGACGTCATAGAAGAAAACGGAGCCTATTACACAATGGTGCAGCAGCCGGGAAAACCAAAGGAGAAGCTTGCTGTAAATTTGAACTTGTTATATCCTTCGGCAGACGAGGAGTACAGTCTTGCGGAAGTTTTGATGCTTTCACGTAAGTTCCGACCGGCCGTTCAAAAACAAGAAGACGACAAAAACGAGACTTTCACCATCGCCCTCCGCGATGATGAGACCATCCAAAAACCAACCTCTCTGGCGGGACATTCTAACTCTCCTACAATTACAATGGTTTCTCGCGTGGCTGCGAATGAGGTGCTAGGCATGTTTAACGCGGCGGCACAGGATCTTCATTTTGACGATTCCACAAGAGCGCTTGAAGACTCCACGAACTATGATGGCTTTGTCACGGAAACGCTTGACGTAAAAAACCATTTAAAGGGCGATGCTATCGTCACGAACACCCCGTATAATACCAATGACCAAAAAACGCCGCCAACAGATCATTATGATTCAGATTCCGCACCAGATCGAGATAGCTCCCCATTCTTGGAATGGCCAAGAGCAACTGCTAGTTCAAACAAGCGCCAATAAATGTGGCCACCTCTTCTTTGACACTTTTTGAAACACATCTACGATGCAATGTTAAAAGAGGGCTTAAATATGCCCCTTTCCGTCAATTGTGCTCTCTCAGGAACTGCCCTGGACAACAAAAATCTCTTAACAGTGGTTTTCAGGCGAACACACACTTTCCGGACCGATTTAATAATTCAGTAACCACCATCAGTCCGATGTGAATGTCCATTAGTCCACAGGAATTACATCGCCAGGGCATGGAATGATATGCTTGGCGCTATAACAACATGTTCATCGATATCACTACATTTTGCATACAAATCCACTTGGTAGCAATTGCGAAACAAACGGGAAGCACACCAGTTAGTGAATCAAACTGCGCCGACAATAATATTTAGCTCCTACGGACTTTCGGTGTCGGCCCGATAAGTTTGGCAGATATGATAAAATGGCCAGAAGGATATAGCGGATCGGAAGCACCGATATCGGTTCGGAAGCACCAATATCGGATCGGAAGCGCATCTGTGTTTTCTTCTTGTCACGATGCAAGAAAGCGTCATCGCAGTACTTGTAAGTTTTGGATAAGTCGAACTGGCACGGCTTGAAGAAGCGCACCACTTCACTCGCATCTGCACGATGGATAAACATCCAGAGATTAATCGATCATTACAAACCCCAGAGATTTTTTTGGCGAGAGTGGTATAGCAAAGAGTACGATATATCATCCACAAAAGAAAGCAAAGTTAAATCGAAACATAGGCGGTTTATTGAGCTTCCGATGAGAGGACAAATTTAGCGAACCAAATGGTCTACTGCAGACAATACATGCCGGAAAGCGTTTTTCTCACTGTTTGCTACTAAAGAAAAGTTACCATAGAAAACAAATGCCAATCGATAGAAGAAATTGTCTCTGATTATCGAGATTTCGCGAATTACTGGCGAGAGGCTTATCCATAGCAACTGCCAGGAAAGAAGGAAATACTCAAACCTCCAAAGTGTAGACTTTCTTCAAGTAGCGCATATGCAGCTGCCAAGACCCACTGATGGATTCGATAACTCGGCGTGCACACTGATTACCGATCTCGGATCGCCGCGGCTGGTTACGAACATACATGAGTAAAAAAGCTCGGCCCGACTAACAGTCCGCCGTTTTCTTACGTATAAAGCAGCTGGGGATCAGCAGGCACGAACTATGGAAGACAAAACACCCATGCTGGCCATCGTGCGCACAGCGCAAAACATCAAGGCTGACGTTCTAATAGTGGGCGGCGCCTATGCTGGCCTTTCCACCTTGGTAGCTTTAAAGAACCATCTCAAGGAGCGGCACGAACGAAAAGTGTCTGTTGCTATGGTGGAGCCCAAGGCTGGACTTCTCAATATCTTGGGTATACCGCGGGCCATCGTGGACCCCGATTTTGCCAAGACACAGTTTGTGCCGTTCGAGAAGCTCGACGACCTTTCGCTCGACCGTTTGATCTCAAGCGACTCGTACGTGCAGAATCATCTCGGCGCAAGCCTCTCTCCTGGACTTAGGGACTACTTGGATATCACGTATGTCCAAGGCAAAGTGTTGCAGGTGGAGGAGAATTCGGCCCAATACACATTGAACGACTCTGGCCAGAGCGCCAAAATCGACTTTTCTTATTGTGTATTGGCTGCTGGCCGTAACAGGCCATGGCCCACTTCGCCTGAGGCGCCGAACTTTGACGCATACTTAAAAGAAATGGCCGAATTCAATTCGCAGGTGCGCCAGTGCAAAACCGTGGGCGTGGTGGGCGCTGGAGCGGTGGGAATTGAAATTGCTGGTGACATCAAACACAAGTATCCTGAGATTGATGTGCACTTGTTCCATCCACATGCAACCTTCCCAGCAGAGCCGCTCACTGAGAAATTCAAGCTGACAGTACGAGAATCACTCGAACGTAGCGGCGTTAAAGTGCACACGGGTGTGCGAGTAAAGGAAGAAGAACCGGGCCAGTTGCTTTTACCGTCGGGAGAACGTGTATCCGTGGATTTCACCTACTGGTGCACAGGGTTCCGCAACAATACAGAAATTTTGGGCGGGCCGTTGGCACAATTCGTGTCAGAAAAAAACAACGTACATGTCAACGAGTACCTTCAGCTCCAGCGGCCCGGTGGCGACAGCGTAGCCAACGTATTTTGTATCGGCGATATGGTGGAAATGCCGATAATTAAGCTGGCTGGATGGGCACTTTACATGGGACAGCAAGTGGCCAACAATTTGGTTGGGGCAATGTTTGAAGGTAGGCTTGTGGAGCCGTTCCCGGACCTTTCACAGATGCCACGCGGGATGGTGATCGTGGCTGGAAACGGCGAGATAGTATCGGAACTTACAGGTGAGGTGGAATTGAATCATCCGGGATACGTTGAAGAGTACAAGGATTATTGCGTGGGGAAAATTAGGGCCACATTAGGGGCATGATAAAGAGGAAATAGTTGAATCCATACAGAGAGAGGTAATAATAGCGGACCAAATTATACCAATGTAAAGCAGATTGATTCTCGACTAGCCCCACAATGGTTGATAGATTGCTTCAGGATGATGTTGATCGATGCACCATAATTCAGTCTTGTAAGAACGTATTGACAGGAATGCAATATTTTATAGCATGATGGTTAACCAAAACGTATGCACCGCTCAACAAAAAATGCTCTGGAATCCTTTCCTTGGGCAAAGGTCGATATTATAGTATAACGTATTCCATTTCGACCTTATCCCACCTACCTGTAGTCTTGTGATCTGCAGCTGCGATGCGTGTCGTATGTAGGACCAAGACATCAGTCGAGCTTCTCGGAAAAGGCTAAGGAAGCGGAACGGACATGTCGAGGGCCGAAGATTATTTCTTGGCTCTAAACTAGCTCCAAGCCCACTCGGTTTTCTTGTAGTACTTTTATAGACTCCTCTGCAACATGAGACACATATTTTATATATTTTACTCGAGCTTTACCGGGAGAAAAGAAGGAGGCCGGAGATAAGATAAGAAGAAAGAGAGCGGGTTTCAATAGGGAGAGTGGAACACTACCGAAAAGAAAGGAGGATACTAAAACGACGGAGAAAGAAAAAGAAACCACCGAAGCTACGGACGGCCGTGTGAGTCGCATGATGAAATGTGCGAAGCGAAAAATGCAAGTGGGGCAGAGCGGGAATAAAGAACAATACAGAAGCAGCACACGAGACACAGAACAAACAGAACAAGCACAACTAGCACAACGGAACAAGCACAGAAACAAAAGAAGGACATAACAAACCAAACAACTTTGAACAAAAACTCAACGAGGCTGAGAACACACAGACCAACCCGGGATACCACACCACCAACCGTAAACGTCCCACACAACGTTAAGGCACTATATCTCGGGCCAGTTGTTTTATTCAGGAACCAGAGCGCGAAACAAAGGCCACAGACCGGAGCCGCCCAGAAAATACGGCGCAACACGCATGAAAAGCCACGCGGCCTGCACAGTGCCCTCCACCATCACCAAAGCCCACTCCGCCTTCTTTGACTGATCTCCATAGTTCTGGCCGCCATGTCGCATTCCGGCTCCACGCCGCAGACACGACGCAAACGCGGGCTTTCGCTCCGGTCTCAACTTTTCACCAAGGCCCTTGCAAGCCCCAGCCAGCCGCCCATTGAGTTGGCTTCTGGGCCCGTCCATGAGGAGCATACAAACGATAGCTCCAGCAAAGCCGGCACCACATCCACAAGCAGCAGCAGCTTCAACGACACCAGCAGCTACACAAGCAACATAAGCAACGCAGCAGCCCATGCCAGCCACACAAACAACGCTGATGCAAATCCTTACGTTCCTGGTACAAACACAAATCACACCGCCGGAAAACCACCGGGGCCGCCGCCGACAATTGTTGTGGAAGAGGCTGAACCGTACTACCCGCCCTACTCACAGTACCCGCAAAGCGCCTTTTCCACGACCCAGCTCACGGCCTTGTCTAGTGCCAGCAGCAGCGCTTCCGACGCGCGACAGCCGCCGAAAAAACTGCTCTGGGAGCGCGCGCGCGCACTAGTGCGCCCGCCTGCGCCAGATTATTCGGGCGCCGGGCGCGAGATTCCGGTCGCCGTGCGCCAACTCTCGCTCACAGACCGCCGCACGGGCCGCGAATACTGCTCCAACGTAATCACATCTTCCAAATACACCGTGTACACGTTCTTGCCCAAACAGATCCGCGCGCAACTATCCAAAGTGGCCAACTGCTACTTCTTGGTCGTGGCCATCATGCAGATGGTGCCCTCTTGGTCCACCACAGGAAAGTTCACCACCATCATTCCCTTGATGATATTCATGTCCATTTCCATGGCCCGTGAGGGATACGACGACTGGCGACGCCACGGCCATGACCGCGAAGAAAATAACAAGGCTACCCATGTGTTGCGTGAAGATGCTGACTTGGAGCGTTTCGATACGCAATCCATTGCCACCATCATGACCGAAACCTTGCCTACACCGCTGACTTTTGCTGGCGTGGCCGAACCTCTACTGGAAGATAGCGTTTTCTCCGAAAGTGCCAGGCGTCGTTATAACCTTCGTCTAGACCGCGCAAAGTGGAAAGATGTACGTGTAGGGGATGTGCTTTGCATCAAGGAAGATGAGTGGGTACCAGCAGATGTTCTTTTGCTCGCGGTCGATGGCGATGATGCCTACGTCGAGACCATGGCCCTTGACGGCGAAACAAACCTCAAACCCAAGATCGCCCACGCACAACTTCGAGCACTAGCCTCGAGGGCAGCTTCCATGAAAAGTATACATACCGTGGTTACTGCTGAAGATCCAAACCTGGATTTGTATAATTTCGAGGGCCATGTGGCGCTAGACGGCAGTACATATGCGTTGGGCCCTGACAATATTGTGTACCGAGGCAGCGTACTACGGAATACTCGAGCCGTTTTGGGCTTGGTTGTATTCACAGGGGAAGAAACGAAAATCCGCATGAATAACTTACGCAGTCCGCGTGTCAAGGCCCCTAAGCTCCAGCGGAACATCAACTTGATTGTGTTGTTCATGGTATGCGTTGTACTAGCACTCTCGGCCTTTTCCACCATGGCCCTGAGAATCTACTATTCGCGTGATCACAAGAAAATGTGGTACATGTTTGATAGCGATGTGGGCGTCGCACCAACATTTATGGGATTCATCATCATGTACAATACATTGATCCCCTTGTCGCTTTACGTGACCATGGAGATCATAAAGGTTATGCAACTTCTCTTCTTACAGTTCGACATTGACATGTATCATGTGGAGTCCAACACACCTGCAGATGCGAAAACAGCCACTATTTTAGAGGAGTTGGGCCAAGTCTCCTACATTTTCAGTGACAAAACGGGAACCTTGACCGACAATAAAATGGTCTTCCGCAAGTTCAGCGTTTGCGGGTGCAGCTGGTTGCATGAGCTCGATTTACTAGAGAAAGAACGCTCTGATCCATCTGATATGGCGCGTGTTGCTAGCTTAAGGAGTATTGTACCGGTAGAAACGTCTACATCTATCATTCGCAATTCTTTGGACTTAACAACGGTCCCTACGCGATCCACGTGGAAGTCCAACGCACAACCGCTCAAAGAACAGGACATACCTACTTCATTGTTCTTACTCAAGTATGTGCAGCTGCATCCCCAGACACTTTTCGCTAAGAAAGTCACCTTCTTTTTGTTGAGTATCGCATTGTGCCACACATGTCTGCCTAAACGTGTTGACTCCAAGAGTACGAATACTTCAAGCTACTCTCTTAACGAGCAGGAGGAACCTGATATAGACCATCTTGAAACTGATTCGCAGATCCGCTATCAAGCTTCCTCGCCTGATGAACTTGCATTGATACAAGCCGCGCGTGACTTAGGCTTCATTCTCCTTGACAAGGAGAACAACATTGCCCAAATTAAAACATACCCGAATGGATTCAATGCTGCACCAAAAATAGAGCAGTATGAGGTGCTTGACTTCATTGAATTTTCGTCCGTGAGGAAGAGGATGTCGGTGATTGTCAAGTTTCCTGATTCGCGTGTGGGTGTCATTTGCAAAGGCGCTGATAATGTTATTATTGATCGATTGAAAAATGCAGAGATTGCAAAGAAAAAGGCTAGAGAATTATTAATGAACTCTGCCGATCGAAAGACCATGGAAGCCGAGCTTGTCCTTCAATCTAGAATGTCAGCTGATATGGAATCTCGAAAGTCTGGTGGATCATTGCGTGCTAGTTTAGATATCGCAGAAAGAATGGGTTCAATCGATGGAATTGTAAACAAGGACGACCATGATTTGAGCGAGATTGCTAAGAAGGCTAGACGGTCATTACATATCCAACAAGCAAAACGCTACAGTTTGGACGAGAGCCAGATAGAGCAAGAAACGGGGCCCAATGGACCAAAGGTGGCTATTCCAAACGATGCGCTTTTGGTTAACGAAGAGTATTTGATCGAGAAAACTTTGGAGCATATTGAAGACTTCTCAACTGAAGGTTTGCGTACTTTATTATACTCATTCAAATGGTTGAGCCATGGAGAATACGAAGAGTGGGCCAAGGAGTATCAAGATGCCAAAATTTCTTTGGTCGACCGCGCAAAGAAGGTTGAAGAAGTAGGAGAAAAGATTGAAACAAACTTGCAATTATTAGGGGCAACGGCTATCGAAGATAAACTACAAGAAGGAGTGAGTGAGGCCATTGAAAAGTTGAGCAGAGCAGGCATCAAGTTGTGGATGCTAACGGGAGATAAGCGAGAAACCGCTATCAATATCGGCTACTCATGCCGTATAATAAAAGATTATTCCACGGTGGTGGTTTTATCTATGGATGAGGGCTCAGAAACACTTGTCCAAAGAATCACAGAAGCCGGACGCGAAATGAAAGCCGGAAGAATCGCACACTGTGTGGTGGTAGTGGATGGAGGGACTCTCACTCTGATTGAAAATGACCCAACTCTCTTCTCGATTTTCATTGAATTGTGTATTCAAGTTGATTCAGCCATTTGTTGCAGAGCTTCTCCTTCACAGAAAGCGAAGATGATTGAATCAGTTCGCGCCTTGAAGAAGAGGGACGTAACTCTTGCTGTAGGCGATGGAGCTAACGATATTGCCATGATTCAGAGTGCAGATATTGGTGTGGGTATAACCGGCCAGGAGGGACTACAGGCAGCGCGTTCTGCTGATTATGCAATTGCACAATTCAGATTTTTACTCAAGTTGTTATTGGTTAATGGCCGCTACAACTATGTCAGAACATCCAAATTTGTGTTATGCACTTTTTACAAGGAGCTTTTGTTTTATTTGACCCAGTGTATTTACCAAAGGTACACAAACTTCACAGGAACATCCATGTATGAGAGTTGGTCTTTATCCATGTTTAACACACTTTTTACCTCCCTCCCGGTTATCTGCATTGGTATGTTTGACAAAGATTTGAGACCCGCTACATTATTGGCTGTACCTGAATTATATACGACAGGTCGTATGTATAAGGCTTTCAACCTTAAGGTCTTTTTATCATACATGGTACTTGCGGCCATGCAAAGTGTGGGGATCTCCTTTTTAGCATACTTTTCGTGGGGATTTTCTGCGATGAGAGATAACTCATTGATGCCTCTTGGAAACTGTCTTTTCTGGGCTTTGGTTATTGTCATCAACGGAAAGATTCAGTTCCTAGAAATGCGCAACAAGCAGTGGTTAGCGTTCGCATCTTTTTTCATTTCTACCTTAGGTTACGGTGTATGGAATGTCTTGATTATGCTCCTCCATCGTGGCAAAAATGATATTATTTACTACGTCTCGTATGGCTTACTAGAATTTGGCCGAGACGTGACTTGGTGGGCCACTTTGTTGATGTTATTTAGTGTCTTGTTGTTGTTCGATCTTCTTGTTAAAGTTCTTAAATTTGTCATCAAACCAAACGATACGGAATTGTTCCAGATGTTTGAGAAAGACATCAATATGAGAAGAACCTTCGAACAAAACGCAATGTCTGAGTTGAAGCAAGGTTGGTTCATGGCCAAAGAACCTTCGACCACAAAAGTACACATCTCCAAATTCATTCACAAAGTGTTCAAGATTGATATAGACCGTGTTGTCCCCAATGAAGTGAACCAAGACCATGAAGGCTCGGCAATGCAGCGAAAAAGAGCAGGAACAAATACATTACCCGATGAGCTTCCTCCAAGTGGCGAAGGGTCAGCTGTTAAAGAAGCAGATTACGAGCTGCCAGACTTAGAGGGATACGAAATTCTACCTAGTGGCGCGAAAGTAAAAGTCAAAAAGGAAGGTATCATGTCGAGGTTTGAAAGAAAGCTTCATAAAAAGAACGAGGATCCTGATATCGACGAGGTACTCGAGAATAGGATGCGAGAATTTGAGAATTGAAAGTGAAGTTTGAAACTTAATGTTGAAATATATAAAGGAATGTATATTAGGTTCTAGAAATGAAGAAAACGTATTATTTTTCTGCTCAGTGCTCCAAATACTTGAAGATGAAAGTGGTGAAAGTTGATGCAAAAATGCAAGCACAAATCATGTTTGGACCGAAGCTGTCGGCATATTGGCTGGTTTTTTTCTCTCTGATAGCAAGGGTTCTGCGAACATACTTGTAGATGGAGTAAGTCATGGTGAATAATGCAGAGATGAAAAAGCCAATAGACGCAATAACTGCAGATTTGCTACCGTAGTTAAGCAAGGCAGATGCAGTAGCGCCGAGAATCATACCAATGGATAACCAACTCAAGAAGGTTCTTTCAGCTGCGAAATACACTTTTGGTTCGATTCTCACAGGAATACAAATCTTTTTGTTTTTGGGAAGCTTGGAAGCGAAAGTGGAGTTCAAGTCAAAGTTGGTTCCTGGCTTGATGGTGAAGGTCCGGTCGTCATTGAAAAAGTGCAAGAACTTACCGTACAAATGCAAGAAGAACGTCGAGAGGTGCGAGTTTGAAGTTCTTGTGCTATAGTTCGATGGCAACAACAAGGGCGAATTCTCATCCAAGTCTTCCTCCAATGGGTTGATATCGTTGGAGAAGTGTACATTAGAGTATCTGTTGAATTCGTCAGAAATCATTTCTTCTTCGTCCAACTCTCCGCCAGAGGATGAAAATTTAGCCTTGCTTTGTCTCGAAATACCATAGTCCTGCTCGTTCTTTGGCTTTCTAATATCAACATCCATTTGAGGGTACCAGAAAGGTAACAAGTTGACTCTGTCGGTCAACAACGAAGCACATCCATGAATAAACTTAGAGTATTTAGGAACAGCTTCAACAAGATGACTAGCCACCAAATCTCTAATCCAAATTGGAGGTTCCTGGCCCAATTGAGTCTGCAACTTGACTTCCAAAACGGCATATGGGAATCTGCAAACATCCTTTTCTGGTAATTGAGGGAATGGGTAGTCCACACCAATGTCGGTTCTTCTCCAGTTGCCGTGAGTTCTGTCGTAGCCATCAAAGTTGTCTTCTCTGACCATTGTCAATTCCGTGTCCAAAGAAATACGCACTCTTGCATCGCCAGGCAACTGGAAAGCAGTTCTATTGTAAAAAGATCTCATCACAGGTCTGTATTTTTGCTTGAGAACGCTGTATTGCACTTCCTTGGCCAAGCTTTCCAAATTGTCGATCTCCTGTGGAGATTTTTTACCTTCCTTTCTCATTTTCTCAAAGGCCTGGTGAGCAGTAAATTCACCACTCAAAAAACTGTTGACTTTCTTTTCCTTCAAAGCAAATCTGGCCTTGACGGACTTCTCTCCAGTCCAGTCTTCTCTGTGCGTTTTTCTCTCCACGAAAATTTGATCCGATTTCATGCCACCGTACCATCTCAATCTGATGGCTTCGGCACCTTCATCTTTTCTTAATCTGCCATAGTACAAGTCCAAATCCTTGTTGTCAAAGTAAATGGAAGTGATGGCCGAGTCCTCCGGTTCGAGCTCTTTGTCTGCATTGAAGACCAAAACGGGCAAATGCTTCAAGATAATCAACTTCAATTCGGTGATGTTGTCTGGGTGAACCCAGTACTTTGTGGTTTGTCTGACAAAGTTTTGTTGAGCACCACCGGCAGAAGAGTCACCCTTGACTGGGTTACCTCTAGTTCTCACCAAATCGTACAACTTGGACAACTTGACAATCAAGTTATCGTAGTTGTCCTTGTAGAATGGTTTGGCGTTCAATCTCACCTGGAAAATTGGTTTCAAAGAAAACTTGGTGGACTTGTCGTGTTTCTTCAAGATTTTTTGAAAGCCAGTGTAGTTCAAACGAGTGAACTTGGCCAAGTCGTGGACATCGGCAATGATGTCGGACAACTCCTCTTCCAACTCATCGAAATCCTGTTCCGAAGGCTTGTTGTCAGTCTTGGCAGCCTCAACAACTTCGTAAACGTATTTCTCTGCCTCCTTGACTCTGCGGTTGATTTCCGTGTTCTTCACAAGCGTGAAAGAGTACACCTTGTCCAATTCCTTTTCCAAGGCAGCTAAAAAGTCCTCCTCAAACTCGTTTGTCCACTCAAAGTCGTTGTCCTTCAACCGCTTCTTCAACTGATGCTTCAAGTCATCATAGTCGATATAGTAAAAACTATAGTTTTTTATGAGAGCTTTCCTCAAATGTTCACCAAACTTCATTGGGGTGATATGGGAAAAGAGAAAAAACGATGTCCATTTTAACCTTGCGAGAGATAGTGATTATAGGGCGTAGCCCCACGTGCGTCTCAGATTGATGGCAGGTGGGAAAAAAAAAAAAAATAAAAGCCGCATCTACTTAATTGTTTGGACTTCTTCTGATTGAACCAATGGAGGGAAGAAGAGATGAGGATTTTCCATGCTACTGATGGCAATTCTCAAATACTCCATTCTGTTGATTCTGGTTGCTTTTCTCTGTTTTCTGGGTTCGATTGGCATTCCTGCAAGTGACGCTTGGTTTATTAGGCTACTCGCAGAATGTTCCTGCAAGATGCACAACATATTAAATACTCTACGAGTGAGCAGAAGGTTCACTGTTCATACATTAAGACTAATAAATGAAAATGGGGGTTCCATATAGACAAAAAAAGTGATCAAAGCATGAGTAAGATGAGTTGTACTCGGCTATAGTAGAGAGAAACAAAAAAAGAAGGTCGTACCCGGATTCGAACCGGGGTTGTTCGGATCAAAACCGAAAGTGATAACCACTACACTATACAACCAACTTATATCTGTTATTATTGACGGGATAATATATTATGTGTGGAAAATATTAGTACTCGAGAACGCAGAAGGAATAAGTTGTCACTTATTTAAGTACTTTGCAGCTTCTTTAGAACGTTCCTGTGGTACTTTCAAGAATGTTTTAGCTACGAAAATATCCCGATCCCCTTCGAGCAGTTCAATAGAAACTTCTTGACAATCTTAATTCTCTCATGGTGGGCCACTTACTATCCAATAATACATTGAACAAGAATACGAATACACTAGCTTTTGTCTAATTCGGTGAGATTCGTGCATCTTTCATCCACTAACCTTTGACTATTCATTTCGTGGAAACATACATATAATGAGGTTCATTTTTTGTGGACTGTACTGGCGTTTTCCAGATGCATCTACCACTTCGGAACATGGCCTCTAGAGGTGTGTCTTTTTCGTTTCTATTTCCAACTCGAACAGTCTCTTGTGACCAATCACTTGCACCTATGCAAATAGCGCGGATTCGCTAATCGCGCGAATATATCGAGTCATGATAACAGTTCCTATTACCCGATTCTCTCTTGGGCATCTCCTTTCATTTCCTTCCAGGCCGAAACGCTATCTATAGTGCTTTGGATTGATTCAATTGCATTTGAGTCGTTGTTTTGCCTGTCTCATCTCGTCTATATATTCTTGTTTGCATCATCTCTCGCCCAGATCTTCCCTTTTCCTGACCGATTCCTCTAGTATGCTTGGCATGATTCGTGCTTTGCGGTCCTTCTCTATGGCCCCCGTTCGCTCAGCCGATTTCTCTCACATTGTCATCGGAGGAGGAGTGGTTGGCGTTGCTGTGGCTGCAAAACTCCAACAGTCGGGCCAGAACGTGGCGCTTCTAGAACAACACCCACAACTTGGAATGGAAACCACCTCTCGCAATTCCGAAGTGATCCACGCTGGACTTTACTATCCGCCCGACTCGCTCAAGGCGCGCTTGTGTGTGCGCGGGAAGGAGCTTCTTTACTCTCTAGACCCGCGCGACGTGCCATATTCGCAGTGTGGAAAATGGGTCGTTGCGCAGTCGGCGCCCGAAGAAGAATATTTGGCGCGGCTAGAAAGTGCAGCCCGCGCTCTTGACATTCCTGTCAATCGGTTGACCTCTAACCAATGTAAGGCAATCCATCCCCGCATTCGCGCTAAGCATGGTGCCCTCGAGTCGCCCTCGACCGGAATCGTGTCGGCGCATGCGTTGACCGCATATCTCGAGGCGAGCTTTTTGGAGCAAGGCGGCTTGGTGTCGCTCGCGACCCGAGTGGAGGCGCTCGAACGCGAAGCCTCTCTTGCACAATACCGCGCGCACTGTTTGGATGTTTCAGGCGAGCGCTTTGAAATCACAGCCGACTGTGTAATTAATGCTGCTGGACTCCATGCGCCCACGGTCGCCAACATGGTTCTTCCGCCTGAGCGTCACTTTCAAGCTCATTTCGCCAAGGGAAGTTATTTTTCGTACCAGCCAGAGTCGCCAAGTGGCCAGGTGACAACGAGGCTCATCTATCCATGTCCTTTGCCGAATGCAACCGGCCTTGGCACCCATTTGACTCTTGATTTGGGCGGACAGATTCGCTTCGGACCAGACTTGGAGTGGCTTGATGCCACAGATGCGAACGACTTGGACTATACCGTGGCACGTACTAATATCGAGGCGGCTCAGAGGGCCATTTCGGGGTATTTTCCAGAGATCCAAGTGGGTGATTTGCACCCAGCTTACTCCGGCGTTCGGCCTAAAATATCCGGTAGAGAGGAAAGCGCTCGAGGCTTCAGTGACTTTTATATACGTGAGGAGTTACCTGGGTTCATTAACATGATAGGTATCGAAAGTCCAGGCTTGACATCAGCAATGGCCATCGGCGAACATGTGACGGCGATGTTGATGTGACGAACAGAGAAGTTCCCTCCATTCAACTATTCATCCATTGAGACGTCTGTTCCGATATCAAAGGATGGTCCGCCTAAAATATCACAAGCCTCCTTTAGCGATCGGTGAACGATTTCTTACACATTGCTAATTGCATTCGCAGCATAGATAGATATCTCATATTTATAGTCATCATTGGATTCTTTCTGGGGATTATAAATGGCAGTGAGGTCGATTTACCTGCTTTCCACTTTCAATAATGGGAATAATTACATACATGGACGCTAAAGACGTCCTCAGTTAGAATCGAAACTTTACTACAGTGCTGTAACCTTTTATAGTCCCATTTTATTAACACCATTATACAGACCGTTATAAAACACCATAGTTTACTCCAAGCGCCTCTTTTTTTCTTCTGGCTCCGGGCTTTTCGTTGGCAAATCTTCTGGCCTAGTCGGTGGTGGTGCTTCCGTGAAGAAATCATGAGTCAACGCCTGTTCCAGATCACAGCGGCGAGCTGGATCGAGCTGGGTCATAGAAATCATCAAATCTAGCGCCCGTTCCGTCGCTGCACTGAATCGGTTCCTGAGTTCTTGTCGCAGAGGAGGCGGATAGACATGCAAAGCATCATACATGGGTAAATTGGACACATTGGGCCAGATTTGCTCTGTAGGAGTGCCTAAAGCCTTAAATGTAACATCCAACTGATCCACATCATCAGCGCCTGGCAAATACGGTGTACGCAACATTAACTCAGCAAATATGATCCCCACGGCCCAAATATCCACTGCTCCCGTATAATGGCGAGCGCCAAAGAGCAACTCAGGGGCACGATACCACCGGGTAACGACCTTAGGTGTGAATGCGTCCAGAGCATTTCCAAAAGCTCGAGCGAGACCAAAATCGGCGATTTTGAGTTGACCATCAGGTGCGAGAAGCAAGTTGCTGGGTTTCAAATCACGGTGCAAGATAAAATTGCGGTGGCAATGGTGGATGCCTCGCAAAGTCATGAGTAGCCATGCTTTGATATCAGAACTCTTGAACACCACCTTCTGGTCCTTGATCAACACTTCCAAATCACAGGGCAAAAACTCCAACACCAAATTCAAGTTATTGTCTGCAGACATAAACACGTCCATGAGCTCGATCACGTTGCGGTGCCGAAGCTCTTGCAAATACTTGACTTCTCGTATGGCTGACATGTCTAAACCATCTTTGAACAAGCCGGTCTTGATTTCTTTGATGGCAATCTGCCGCCCAGTGGAAATCTGCTTACCGACATAGACGACAGCATATGTTCCCTCACCGACTTTTTTGTCCTTGGAGTAGCTGGCCATAAGAAAAGCCAAATGAGTTTAGTTGAATAAGTAGATGCGAAACCAGTACTTCACACTACAAAACCATTTTACGCCTTTCATATAAAGGTCTGATATCATGGGCACAACACGACATGATATGGTTAAATCTTTTCTTTGAGATAAACTGCTTCCATCTTCTTCAGTTGTTATGGTTATTGCTCGTCGGATCGGTATTTTAGAACACTGATCCAGAACATCAGTGCGCATACTTCGTTCTTTTCTATTGCAAAAAGAGGTAAAATTACACTGGAAACAGTCGATTACGAACGATAAACGGCCACATAGGTTGTAGTGGGAAATATGGTCATTAAGGACTTGTGGTAAGTTAAAACCATTTATTGCAAAGATCTTTATAGAATAGTCCAGGGTGGGAAATAATCCTTTCAAAACGGTAATAACTTTAGCCAGATGAAGAATGTCATGAACATCAAACATGGTTAGCAATTAGAGCCAAAAACATAATAGCGATCGTTGTCCCTTTCGTGGGAAAAGTAGATCACCAAAAGGCGACGACATACGAAAACCGTCGTCCTAATTGCACCATAATACTCTATAAATGAAATGGTCTCTTGTTTTATTACTCGTTGGTTTCACCCATGGTTTCACATGCTTCTGCCACTTTAGCATCCTCTTACAAGCTTCTACATCCTCTCTATTACAAATGTATTGCGTGCCAAAGCACGATGCAATCTATTAGACACATTCCCACTGGGCAAAAACGTACCAGCTGTTACCACTGTCGCCAAGAACCAAGGCACGGTAAAAACCAGCGTCGTTACACAGAAGTGTTGTGCGGAAAGCGCAAGATTCGCCGCGGGGGTCGTCCTCTCGGGTGAGCTTTGTATACTTCCCTGAAGGCGCCTCAATGACAATTTTAAGATCAGAGTTCCCTTGTAGGTGCAGCTGAGCTGGGTGCGCATCGATTTCGAAGTTGTACGAGTTTTTGGGCGCAAGAGTCGCCAATTGTGGATGACGAACGTAAAGGTCATAGTTTTGTGCTTGGATGGTGGGGAAACGAGGAACAAAACGGGCAGCGAGCGAGGTGCCCTCGTGGTACAAAGGAATGACACATGCGAGTTCATGGATATTGTCAAAATGCGTTTGCAAGCCCTTGGGCCCGGCGAAAAGCTGGAACACGCCAATCAGCTCTCCTACAGGAAGAAGCGCCTTGATGCGGGCCATTCGGCGGCCGCCCACCCAATAATGCTGGCAAAGAGTGAAGTCGTTGGATGTGGTGCGGGCGGTTTTGATCAAGGTGAAAAGCTCCACGTCGGGCGGCACATGCAAGTCTGCCTCGAACACTTCCAAGTCTTTCATGCGAGTCAAAGCATTGTTGAAGTTGCTGAAGCGAAGATGCGATTTGGCAAAGCCCGAGTAGAGCCGGGGCAAATGGAACGCCACGTTGACATCTACAGGCGGGCAAACATGCTGCAACTCGATAATGGACGGAAGATGGGTCGACACCAAGTGGATGGGCTCGGCCAAAAAATAAAACTCGTTGTGGCCGCTTGTGTTGCACACGGCGCCATTTTGGAAGCAAAAGAGGTCGACGAGGCGAAAGACGCCCGCGCGCGCGCCCGTTTCGAGCATCACCGAGAGCCAACAGTGGTTGACTACAAAGTGGTCGGAATGGTAGAACTCGTTTGGTTTTTTCCAGAATCCCACAACCACCTCGGCCGGAATCCGCAACGCCTCAAGCAATTTCTTGAACAAGTAGTTGAGCTGGAAAATGGTGGCTGCGCCCTTTTCCATCACCTCGGAAAGGCGCGGTTTCGCGAGCAGAATGCGTTCGGGCTCCTCGATTATACGGAACTGGCACAAGTGCAAAAGAAGCGCGCGCACCATATCGACGCGCGAGGCGCCGAATTTCACGCTCACGGCAGAGATCACATCATTGAAGTCGGTCGAACGCGGATACTTGGCGGCAAAATCAGCCACTTTGCGCTTGTTGGGCGTCGGTGGCGCCTGCGGATGCTCGCCAAATGTCTCACTGACATTTATTGGCGTGACATACTCGAGCGGCTTGACGATGAAATTGGGTTCGGCGCGCGCGAGTCGCCGAGTGCGCATCTGCTTGTCTTGGGTCGAGAGCGTGTTGGCGCGATTGAGCGCCGTTTTCACCGCGCGCCATTCGTCGCCCGCACTGAGCCGCTGTTCAAGCAAGTTCTCTGCGCTTTTGCGCCGAAGCATTTTGAAAAGGCGCGGCCGGTCATCTTCGGGCGCTTCATACTTGTGTCGCATGAACGAGCCGGCGCTGGTGGCACTGAGCTCGGACAAGTTGAGCACGTCGCTCTGGAGAGATTTGAGCGACGACTTGAGTTCTGAGCAGTGGAACACGTCGCGCGCAGGTTCTTGATCCTCTTGCGAACCGTGCATCACGACAGAACTCCGCATGGCATGAGACTCGCGCAACGCATGAGATTCACGCATAGCAGTAGACTCGCGCATAGTATTAGACTCGCGCAATTGGTCGGAATGCTTGGGCGGTGGCGGCGGTGCATCCAGATCCTCGTCTGTATGCTCGAGTCGCTTCGACAGTAAGAGTTCCTCGCTTACGTAGCCCAGCTCTGCCAGATTGGCACGAGCCAGGTACTTTGCAACGTCTTTCCCATCCTTCGCCTGCCGCTCCAATTGGCGGAGTTGTTGGAGCTCCATCTCGAGCTGCTGTTTCTTGTGGGCAATGCTCTGCATGAGTTCGTCTTCACGCCGCGCTTTGGGTGTGGGCGAAAGAGGCAACGCCGAATCAGAACTGGAAAAGCCCGTGCCAAGCACGTACTGCGAGTACATTTTGCGTCCGCTCAGGTACATATCTGGGCTCGCTTGACCAGACACGTTGGGCGACAGCGCACTCAATGTCTTGGAAGATGCAAATTTCAATGTGCTTTTGGAGGCGCTCTTGGATGCACTTTTCGAAGCGCTCTTGGGCGTCTGCTTTGTTGGGGTTCCCTTGGGCGTTATCTTGGACGGAGAAGCAGAAGGAGTCGTTTTCGGGGTCGTGGCCAATTTGCTGGTTCGATCGTGGACAGGTGTGCTAGGGTCCGACGAAAGGCCTGCGGGTGGCATTATCTCAACAAAGTCTTTGGGGAAGATGCCTTCGGCGCCATTCCGCACCAAACTTCCCTGCCACCAGAGCTCGTCTACGAGATGGAACACCTTGACCACCTCGTTTTCGAGAAATCCCAAGTCGCCGTCCTCTTCGCCGGTCCAGGAAACCAATGTCCTTGCCAAAAAGGGCAACGGTGGAGCCGACATGCTGATGAGAGAAAGAGACCTAGTTGCGAAGAAGTTGAATGCGGCTGCTAGAGAATGGTGTGCGCATTGAAGCTCATTGCCCGATCTGGAAGAGGCATAAACACTGCACCAGCGTTTCGACCGCAAGCGCATGCAGTCTTCCTTGCAATGAGACTGCGTCATCACGTGCAGAAGGAGCGTTCCGCATTACACTTCCATACAGCGTGCCTGATGGAGATGCAGGTAAGCCTGTCTGGCTAGTCTATATCTCTTGGACATTCTTTACTATGCGTATACTAGCTCCAAAGTGGGTAAGTGGCATATGGAATTAGCACCATCACCCATCACTCAGTAACCACTGCGGTTTCTCCTTTAGACATGTGCATCAGCCGTAAGTCATTGTTCAACATGACGCTTGTCAAGCGAAACGACATTCGAAGAGTGCTGCATCCACATCTTTTATTGTGAAATTTTCATATCACTAATGACTGAAAAATCTGTGTTTAAATGACTTTTGAAGTCTATTAAAGGTTGACTTTGTTCAACGGTATTGAAGATTCTCCGGCTGTACGGGGCTCTGATGCATGCGGAAATCATTACGACGATTCTTTGTCTCGACTGCTCATGCAATCATAGAAGGTAAACTTATGTGACGGTTACTAGCTTGATGTAATATTACACGGCTCAATATCTACGAAACGACTTCTAGCATTAGGGTTCGGATCGATATCAGATAAAAGCTGTGATCACTTGTCCATCGGAACAAAATTACCCTCCTTGGCCGTATTTACAATCACGCAGACATTAGTTTGTGAGTATTTTCCTCCGATTAGCTATTAGGAGTTCCTATAGATCTATGGTACATGATATTACTCCTGCTGGCGAACACCACTGACAATGTCATCCACACGCAACAAGAGACAAGCGCTTTCAATTGCGGTTTTGATCGATTGCTGCTTGATCACCTCCGGTTCCCAAATCCCGTAATCGTTCATGTCCACAACCTTGCCTAACTCTCCATCAATTCCAAAAGTGTGTTCACCCTCTGCGTGCTTTGCTCTCAATTGGGCCAAAACGCGGATTGGCTTACCTCCGCAATTCTGAACCAATGTTCTTGGGATGACCTCAAATGCATCGGCGACCGCCTGGTATGGCCACTGAGCGACACCCTCGATAGTCTTGGCTTTTTCTGAAAGCTTGACACTCACAGCCATTTCTGTGGCGCCTCCACCAGGACTCAATGATGGTTCGAACATTACGTTTCTGGTGACCGCCATAGCGTCTTGCAAGTTGCGCTCAACCTCGTTTAAGATATCCTTCGATGCTCCTCTCAACAACACAGTACATGCTTGAGGGTCCTTGCACTTGACGAGATAGGTGAAGTACTCATCTCCGATAAGCTCCACATTGAAGAGACCACACTTGATACCCACATCGGACTCCTTCAAGTCCTCGATACGGTTGACGATTGTGGCGCCTGTGGCACGGGCAATTCTGTTATTGTCGGACTTCTTGACTCTTCTCAAAGCAGTAACACCTCCCTTCAACAAGTAGTGCTGAGCCAAATCGGAGACACCCTTTTCGGTGATCACAACATCGGGTTTGAATTCCAAAAGTTGGTCACAAATTAAACGCACTTGCTCTTCTTCAATCTGTAAAATACGGTTCCAGTCTTCCTCCTTCGTGATTTCAATGTTCGTCTGCGACTCACCCTTCTTGTACTCCAACGGACAGTCCAACAAGATGATACGGGGGTTTTCAATCCGTCTCTTCATCTTGGGGTGTGTAACATCTTTGTTCAACATAATACCATCCAATACCTCACTGTCGGCAACTTCGCCACCAGGAATTTTCTCCACACGCACGTATCTTTTGATGTCAATCTCTTTGTAGTCACCTTGCTTCACGGCAACTGTCTTCACGGCCCTTAACGACAACTCACACATTTTTTGCAGCCATTTGTTGATGTATTTAGTGCCAATAGAAGCCTTGATCAACTTAATCATGGCCTCATCGTTCTCAATGTCCACCGGAACAGAAACTTGGTGAATGATTTCCAAAGCGTCGCTCAACGCCTGCTTCAAGGCCTGAATGATCACGACAGGATGCAAATTCTTCTCAATGTATGGGAAAGTCTGCGCCAAGATCTCTCCAGCCAAAATGATGACAGTAGTAGTTCCATCTCCCACTTCTTCGTCCTGAGTTCTACTTAGTTCAATCATGGACTTTGCTGCTGGGTGGGACACATCGATTTCTCTCAAAATAGCATGTCCGTCGTTGGTCAACACAATGCCACCCATCGGATCCAAAAGCATCTTTAACATAGCCTTAGGACCCAAACATGTTCTGATGATGTCAGCCACAGCTTTTGCTGCGGTGATGTTGGAAACCTGCGCCTGACGCCCACTTTGTCTTTCTGTGGAAGCGTTGAGATAGACCACTGGTGCTTGCATTGTGGGATGAAAATGTTGAAGGAAAGCCTGTGCATTCAATAATGGACAAGACGCTTTTTTTCTGTGTCGCGCACGCCATTATACTTACTGTGTCTCCGACTAGCATGGATCATGATTCCAGAATCAGAAGTATGCGTAACATTATGTAGAAGCATTATGTAAGGCTACCATTGCACTCGTGCCTTTTTCTATTCTGTCTGTCTCCTCGAGTTCATTTGACTTCATCACTTCACTTGAACGTCATGTGAAAACACCCGTGCATCTTGGTCGCATATAGGTGCTACTCTGTCGTGAAAGGTACCCCACTATGGACTACATCAACACTAATTTTGTCTTCTTGCGGGACTTGGAGGAAATCGATGCTCATATCAATGCTCTCAGCGAGCAAAAATTGAACATCACAAAAGCAATCAAGGCGAAAACGAATGCCAGGAATCTAAATGGTCCAGATGCGGCTCAATGTGAGGCGTTGGTGCACGCTGTTCAGGATTTATCTGGATCAGAATCGATCGAAGCCGTGGATCAGCTTGTGAAAAACTTTGGCGATGTCAAGATTCTTCGTGAAATCCGCGGAGCGCTCCAAAAGAAGTTGGAATTAGAAAGAGAAAACGCCGTCTTGATTCGCGCAGCTGACATTGAATCTCGACTCAACCAGTTGCTGGAGTCTTCACCTGTAGAAGAATTCAACGCAGCATCGATTGCTATTTCAGATATTCATGATGAGCTGCTCGAAAAAACGCTTCGTCTGCAATTGAAACTTGTTTCAGAACCCCGCAAAGCAGTTCTTCAGGCCGAACTCACCAAAGCATTAGAAAAGGTCAAATGGCTTGCTCCGCATGAAAAAGTAACTATCCCTGCAGCTGATTTCAAATTGATCTCGTCAAAGTTTACGGAATTGGTTGATCTTGAAGCATTGAACCTGATTCCAGAATACCCAGAATCATGGTTTGCTCTCCAGGTTCTTCTTCATCCGTTTATCCTCCGATTCAACTATCACTTCAACCAGAATACAGAGACCAACAAGATTTCTCGTCCTGAATGGGCTTTGAACTATGTTGAAACGTTCTTCTCAGACAACCATGCTGTTTTGGAGCTTGCTATTGGGGATGCTTTTTCAAAACATAATCGGATTGGCATTTTTGAAGTGTTGACTGCTATCCTTATTCCCCTCAGAGACAAATTGACCCAAATGCTACTGATAATTAATACAAATATTGAAAAGTCTTCGTCTGAAGGTGACACGGCTGCCCTTGACCGTGATGGGCGATTACTTTCGCATTTGATTTTCGAGACGGCATCCTTCGACCAGCGCTTACGCAAGAACTACAAATACAATCCTTTCATTGAGGTTTCACTTGCTGCGCGACCACATAAATGGGCAGGTCTCACGGGAGATATTTTGGCTACTGATGGAAGTGAGAGCAGTGCAGTAAATAACTGGCTTAATCTTGAATTCAGGTTGGCAAAGTCTCGCTTTGAGACTGACATAGTGGGTGCTTCGAATGCCTTTGAAATCGATTACGAGTTTAATGCTAGCTCGGACAATCCAAGCGATGTATTAAAACCGAGCTATTCAGCTTTTGCTTTGGTCAAACTCTTTGATAATTTAACAACTCATTTCAAAAGTTTGAGTATTGTCAAGTATCAATTGAAATACGTTTCTAAGATTCAACTTGTTCTCCTAGATGATTATTACAATGCTCTTGAGAAAGACTTTCGCCAATTCAATGAGTCGCTTAGTCTGAAACTCATATCAAATTTTTTATCTGGGACGATCAAACCTGACTCAAACAATGCGGCACAAACAATTGCGACAAACGGTCTTAAAGGATTAGAAATCTTGACTGGTCTTTATTGCCTGATTAAGTTTGTGATCGAGAGTATGGAAGATTGGAGTACGGAGTTGGTTTATATTCAACTATGGAATATGTTCTGCTCGCTTTCAGACACCAAAGATAGAGATAACTCCATTTTCGGCGCAACAATTGTCCAGTATCATGGTTTACTTGACAAGGTTATTGAGAAATACACTGATTTCTTCCGTCGGGAAATTCGTGGAACTTTGAAGGAGTATGTCAATTCTTGTTCATGGATAATCGACGATGATATGAAGAAGAATAATCAACCATCCACCCAGTTATCGAATTTTATTCTCATTCTTCCGAGCTATATGTCTTTCTTAAAAAGATCACTTCCAGAGCTTGATTACTTTCTTGTTTCGAGTAAAGTTTGCGATTCCTACGCACGCGTGCTCCAAGAGTATGTAATCTCGAATAACCAGTTCAACAAGAATGGATTGAGCCAACTAAAAGTCGATCTTGAATGCTTGAGTAGCTACATGGCTGACTACTTGTTGATGAGTACGAACTACAAGTATTCCAATATCGAAAACCGCAATTACAAGAGGCTAATGCAATCAGTGAAGATGATGGAACATTTTGATGCCACAACTGCAAAGTTATTGAAGAGAAACCCCGATAGTAACAATGACATCAGAGCGGAATTTACGGATGGGCTTGATTGTCTTTCTGACAATGATTTGAGAGATTTGTTATTTCGTATAGTCTAGAATGGATAAACCTATCGATTGCCACACAACAGTCGGAATTTTAGGGTAACTTGAGGCGTGAATTTTTCATGACCGCACTATGTGAAGGTAGCGACATTGCGCATAATCAATGTTGGTTCATTGTGGTAGACAGAATCACATGAGCTATTTAACTCGTTTTGGAAACAGGCTGGGGGAAGCACGGCAACGTATCGTGGATCTATCGAGTGGAACTGTTCAACGATAGCAGCTTTTTCATTATACGATTCAAACTCAAACTTTCTGAAATATTTAGATTGTTCCGCAAAAGGCAACTCCCGAACGAGTCAAACAAAGTACCCCACTCTAAGGCGCTGTAACTGAGCCATTTTTCTGACTAAAAGGTAATTACTCTCCTGTCAAGGAACTTTCCGTCCCATAATGAATAATACTGCATGCTATACGCAACTTTAAATAAGATTGTTCTGCGCAAAGATTGTTCTGCATCGTATCCAGTTGCATAAGAAACTGATAAGATAACTACGGGCGCCACAACAGAGACTCATGCATATGCATTATTAGGCAGTCTTCCTTCATTCTCGGTATCTCGAAGGCCCATTTATGGCTATGCATCTGTTTTGTTCATTGTAGGAACAAAGAAACACCAGAAATGGAATCCACAACTAGTATTCCTAGTGGCGCGATAAGGCTTTGTTTCTTGAAAACAATATCTTCTCATTCTCATCAGTACTGTTGCTATAACATGTGCATTTCAGGCTAATAAGGTTATCTGCATGGTCACACTCAAGTGGCGAAAAAAAAGAAAAAGAAATACCCTCATGCCTACGTCCAAAATTGCAGATTAAAGCCCAGAATTGGAAATTAGTTCTAGGTACATACCCGGAAAAAAGTACTTATTAAATGCAGGGTACAAATGCGGTAAGAACGTCAAACAGTATAACCGCCGTATCATTTCTTAAATCTAAGAAAAGGAACCATCCACGAAAATGGTTTTAGAAAGGTGTCTCTCTTTTGATTCTTCTCAGCTGTGGAACAAATCTTGTACATTTTAACATAATCCACAACAAGTGCTCGATCTTCTTCCTTCTGTGGCCATGTTGGATACCAACTAGAGACGGCTGACCAAAACGAGCGAGGAGCAGTAGTCTCCTGGGCATTTGTCCAGGGTTTGTCACCCATTGAATCTGGGAAAAACCCATTCGTGCCTCCAACCGCAACATTAAGAACAAGAAAGAATTCCTGATCAAAAGGAGCGATTTTGTTGTTGAGTGGCCAAGGGTTTTGGATCACAGTACCATTTTGGTATGTTGTTGAAAAGTGTCCAAAGTCCCAGAAAGGCTTTTTGAAACCATGGTAGAGGACTTGCCTTAATCGACCATCGATATAGCTTTTGATGTACTTCTCATTCCATTCCAAACCATAGATATGGAATGTGCTGGAAAACATACCCAATCTTTGGGTACTATGGGATGTAGTTCTAAGATACTGATCTTGTGCCACATCAGGGCCCCAATGAAGACTGCTGGAAATAACGTCATGTCCACCCATAGGGTAATGCACTCCATTCCCTCTGGATTCAGCGATATCAATTTCACCCGAAGCTGGCCAGGGCCCATAAGTGTTATTTTTCGGAAGTAACCAAATTGCAGGCCATAACCAGTCTCCTTTAGGAAGTTTAGCACGCACCTCTACTTTCCCATACTTTATAGATGCTGAGCTTTTAGTATTGAGCCTAGCACTTTGCACTGGTGGAATAATTGCTCCAGTAGTTGAGTTAGACCTAATCCAACATTGGGCTCCTCCAGAACCTGTACAAGTTCCATCTGTGGTTAAGTTCACTGTGTACCCGTTTGAGATATCATCGTTATCAATAGTCTCATTAGTAAGTGTTGGGAGAATAAAGAGTTTTCCATTTTTCACAAAAGAGTTTCGGTCCAGGTCTGTGGTCCAGTCAAAGGCACCTGTGCCGAAACCCCCAACTTGAACTTCTCTTTCCCATACATTCTTGTTGAATTCCAGGAAATCATCGACTAGTACCTCACAGAACTTGAAGTTTGAAATATCAGCATATGCAAAGTACCCTAGTACACCAATGACAGCCAAACCAAGTACGAATCCAAGAAGAACGATGTAGTTGATAATTTTGAGCTTCTTTCTGCTTTTGCTTTTCAACCAAGGTTTTTCAACCTCGGCTCCAAGAGTTATCCTTTTTGAATGCACCACCCGCTTTGTGAAGATAAGTTCATCATCTCCAGGTTTAATTTCCGTGGTGTATAATGTCTGGGAAGATCTATTCACAATTGATGAGCTCTCATCACCACTAGTCCTGAAACTTGTGCCTCTTGATGTCCTTGCACTGGCTGTTGGCATAGGCAAAGATGACGAAATATCAGTTTGCTGGTCCGAGGCCTCAAAATACTGGTTTTCGGCTGACAGATTAGAGACTTCGGACTGCTGCGGATGAAGCTGAACCATTATGAAGCAAAGGTATCAATGAATTGATAACGGGAAGAAAACGATTCGCCAATACGGGGGTTTTGTAATAAAGGAAAGAAAGTCTAGACTTTGTGTTTAAATATGAATAAGGAAAGCTGCGAAGTCACACATTCGACAGTTCCATTCGGGGACATATGCCTCGTCTTCTAGATGAACCCGCCGTGCTTACATGCAGCGAACACTAACTCTGCATAACCTTGCATATGGTTTTGAGCGAGAACGTATGACGGTAATTTCTTGCTCCCATGGCTCCATCGCACGTAACCAGGATTAGGATATATTTCGAGACGTATTCTGACTGATGAGCTTCATACCCTAAAATGAGTTTTCTCAAGAAATTATTGAAGGCTGGCGAAAGACGCAAAGGTCCCGAGGAAGAGAAAAGTGTTCCTGATAGTAAGATAGAGGGCCAAATCAATATAAGAGACATACAAGAACAATTGACAGCTGCGACTAATTTTCCATTGAGTGAATTAACATCAACGGGAAGTGGTTCACAAAATTTTTCGATCCAACCTGTCAGCGGCTTTCAAGGTATTCTTAATAACATCAACGCACCACATACTCAATTCCAATTCCCTGGAGACTTCAAAGACCCCCAATATATATTTGTGCAGTATCTTTATGATATCTGTGTTGGTAAAGGATGGCTCAAGTTAGTGGATCCATTGGAGCCATGTGTGATGAAGAAAAATCACAAAGACGGAAGTAAGATTCATTACAGATACCTACCTCCATGTGATAATCTCGGTGAGGGGTCTTTTGTGGACCTTGTGGCACGTTATCTACGTGCTGAAATTGCAGTCAAAGTTTCGTTTCCCCTTATTCATGCTGTTCTTGAGACAGTCAGACCAGAGGATGGTGTGATTCCCATAGATTTAGATCATAGAATCCAAATTCTTGATTCTATCCAAGAGATTCCCTTTGCTAGCAAATACCATTACTGCGCTTTTATTAGAGACGAGAAGAGTTTTGTTGTGTGGGGATCTACCATTCAACAAGTGCTTACTTTTTTGAATCAGATTGAGAAAAGATTGATCAATTTTGTTTGGGATGCTGGCAACGCAGTTAACGAAAAAAGAACCAACTATATTCCCAGAGTCACTTTTGTTAATGGTCTTGACTCCTCTGACGAGGAGACTAGCCTGGCCAAGAGAAATTCTGTCCGGGCTGAAACAGAGGCTGTTTCTGGATCAACAAGCTCAGAAGAATCAAACTCTACAGCAGAGTTTGATATAGAAAAACAATACGAGGAAAGGCCAATCTTCTTTGTACATTCAGTGATCATTGCATTAGCAGTAATTGTCCTTATGGCTTTCATAGGCATGTTTGTGTCGCAATTGATTAGAATCATCGTGACGGAAAACTATTGGATAATTTTGGTAAGTATCCTATACATTCCAGTGATTTTTCTTTTCTGTGGGTTTTTTGCTACATCTGTGGTCTCTGTTTTTGTCTTTATTCTAGGACCAGTGTCACAACTCGAAAAGAACTCATATTCATACTCCGTGAAACGTTCGCCTCGCTTGAAACCAAAAAACGGAGTATTGCCTCACATAACTATCCAGTGTCCCGTCTACAAAGAAGGGTTGCTGACTGTGTTGAAGCCTACCTTTGAAAGCGTTCAAAAAGCCATCCATACTTACGAACTTCAAGGTGGTTCTGCTAATATTTTCATTAATGATGATGGACTTCAAGTGATTCCAAAGAGTGACGCTTTGGAAAGGATACAGTACTATGAAGAGAATGGATTTGGCTACGTAGCTCGCCCTGGTCATAACGTTGATGGATTTATCAGAAAGGGGAGATTCAAAAAGGCCTCTAACATGAACTACTGCTTACACATTTCAAACTTGGTGGACGGAAAATTTGATGAAATTAGGGGCGAAACCACTTCTTGGGACCCAAAGCAAGAGTCAGCTTCATACTTGAAAGCTTTGGAATTGGTTGTTCAAGAGGAAGGTCGATGCTGGGCTGGAGGAGATATCCTATTGGGAGAGCTCATTTTGATCATAGACTCTGACACGAGAATACCAGAAGATTGTTTTTTAGATGCAGCATCAGAAATGCATGCATGTCCTGACGTGGGGATACTACAACATGCTTCGGGGGTAATGATGGTTGTGAATGATTACTGGGAACAAATGATTGCTTGGTTTACTGAATTGATTTATTTTTCTATTTCTTATGTTTCGGCAAGTGGAGCTGATACAGCAGCTTTTGTCGGCCATAATGCTTTCTTGAGATGGCAGGCAATACAAGAATGTGCATATGTTGATGAAGATGATAACAGAGTCAAGTACTGGTCAGAATCTCATGTTTCAGAAGACTTTGAAATTGTCTTTAAAACTTGGTGCGTTAGGATACATAGTACGTTTGGCTACTTATCATGATGGAGGATTTAAGGAGGGCGTTTCTTTAAATGTCTATGACGAATTGACTCGGTGGTCCAAGTATGCTTATGGATGCTCTGAGATTATGTTTCATCCTTTGAGGAAATGGGTATTGGGAAGAATATTTATCTCCGTTGTTTAGATCATTTGTGCTGGTGCACACATCTCCCATTAGCTTGCAAGTTTGGGATTATCAGGTTATATGGGCACTTATTTTGCAATTGGGGCTTCCCTTGTGATGGTTTTCGTCAACTATTTCATTGTTGGCTACTATAACTGGGGTTACTACCGCATTTATAGTGACTCGATGCACATCTTTGTTGCAGTCACTGTAACATTCTCTGTTGCATCGCAAGCTGCCTATTCCATTGCAAGACTCCGTGTTCACAACAAAGTCACAGTGTTACAAGTTCTTGGAGAGCTAAAATGGGTGGTCGTGATGGCAATTTTCATGGGTGGACTATCATGGCATATGTTTAAGGCGATTGCGTGCCATTTACTAGGTATTAACATGGCATGGGAAGCAACTGCAAAGGATATCGAAAACTCAAACTTCTTTCAAGAAGTGCCTAAAGCCATCAAGAATTACTACATGATGTACATTTGCTGCATTCTAATGTTGATTGCCATTCTTTGCTTGGCATATGCGGTACCTTACGCATACCAAATCCGTGGAATCGCTCCCATTCTCCCTTTGGCTTGGAGTCTTTGGAGTCATATTCTCTCACCGATTGTTCTTAATCCTCAAATCACCACTTTTTCATGGTGAGTTTTATAGTTTCACAAGCAAATACACGAGGTACCATATTCCCAAATTACGAGAAATCTCGGAATTTTTTTGGCTGATGTTGCATATTCTATGTCTTTCTTTGCCTTGGGCTCAAAAGGATGCACGATGCTTAAAAGTGAAAGCCGCTTTTCCCACCTGTAGAGAAGGTAGTTTTTCAAATTCGTAATTGAATCCTTAAGCAGCAATACTTTCCTATTCAGTCAAGTATATTCTTAGCTGCCATATTATTTTTAGCAGGTCGCTAGAAAATATTTTTGGTTGCAAAGTGGTCTCCCGGAGCCGTTTCCTTGCACTAGACTACTCTAGACAGGACTAGCGGTGTATCATAAGAATTCATATGCCCACACACTTTTTTCAATTTGCCATTATCTTTATATTTGTCCGAATTTATGCATCAGAACTAATACTACGGCAGTACGTATTTTTTTTTTCTTCGCCAAGCTAACCTTTGTAGGCCCTTTGTCTCAATCTTCGGAATTTCCGCACATGTAAACTAACCATTCGTAATGGGAGAGGAGCGTTTTCATTTTCATTCTTTTTCGTTTTGTAGTTTCTCAATTGATGTGGGCCTTGTCTACACCAAAACAGCTTTCAGCATAGCAGGATCCCAACATTCTTTCATGAACCTAATTACATGAAAGTAGGTCATTATGTCCATACAGTTATTGAAGATATGTATATCCTGACGATAGCCCAAATAGAGCACCCTTTTCACATCTGCGAAGCTAGGAGAGCTAAGTGGCGATGGTACAATTCTCAATTTGAAGGGCTACAATCATATGTGAATACTGCCACTTGAACAAGAAACCCGAGGTATTGTTTGTTTCACGGATAGTACATCTAATTAGACTTTTGTGGCGTTTGCATCTTTGGTACTCAGTCGTGAGATGAAAGTTTCTTATCTTGAGGCGGGCTATCGCAGCTTCATGCATGGCAAGTGAAATGGCGTGTGCAGCGCTCACAAACGCATGCGCTGCGCACCATGCAGCTTCCGCGTTCGTTATACATCAACACTTCCCACTACGCGTCTTCCTCATGTCTCTTACACGCAAAAGAGTATGTCGAACCACACATTGTTGGAAACACGGATTCCGCTACTAACACTCAGTCTCTTGCTGAGACGCTGGCGCCGCCAAAGAAGCCCTTGCATCGGTATGACACGATCGCCAAATTGTTCAATGTTAACGCGGATCAACTGCATCTTTTGATTCCCCGCAAGCCTGCGGGAGTTGTGGTGGGCCGCAGTAGTAGCTGTGATATTAGACTTGGTGGAGCTGATGTCCTGTCGCGGCATTGTCAGTTTTCACTCTCGTCGAATGACACGCGAGAGTATCTTATGCTCACAGACATGAGTTCAAACGGCACTTTTGTCAATGACGAGGTGCTTGGCCGCGGAAACACCGTCGTCCTTCGAAGCGGCGACAAAGTTGCATTCGCTCGTAGCGGAACATACGTTTTCCGCTATCTTGCTGACGATACCGCAGTAACTTCCAGACGGCTGTTTTTCGCAGACTATATTTTACTGCATCAGCTTGGCACGGGACATTATGCTGTAGTGCGTGAGGCAAGAGACCGTACACTGGGAGACGTGGTTGCGGTCAAGATTTTCCATCCGAACAAGAATGGGACTGCGGCAGCAGAAGAGGAGACCAAGCTTCGACAGGAAATGGAATTGCTTCTTCTGATAAACCATCCGAACATCGTACGGTTCATCTCGCATTACGTAGAACCTACAGGCAACAATGCATCCACAACATATTTGGTGTTGGAAAAAGTCAACAGTGGTGAGTTGTTCCAGCGCATTGTCAGCAAGCTGAAACTTGCTGAGGACGAAACACGTGCATTGTATAAACAGCTCCTTGCTGGACTCGGATATTTGCATGGACGTAACATTATTCACAGGGACATCAAGCCAGAAAATATTTTACTAGATATCACCCCACGGAGACCCGGTGTTCTTCCAACCGGACCTTGGGACTCTACCGAACACGACGTGCGAGTCAAGATCGCGGATTTTGGCCTTGCTAAGTTCATTGGGGAGCGAAAATTTACCAACACTCTTTGCGGCACGCCGGCTTATGTTGCACCGGAAGTCTTAGCCAATGGGGGACATTATCTGACCAAAGTCGATGTCTGGCTGGCTGGTGTTTTGTTGTATGTGTGTTTGTGCGGCTTTCCGCCCTTCAGTGACGATTTGGCACCACCGTCAATGCGTGACCAAATTCTTACAGGCAAATATGCCTTCTACTCCCCTTACTGGGATACCATCAGTGACCTGGCCTTGGATTTGATTTCAAAAATGCTTGTCGTAGATCCATCACGGCGATTGGACGTTCAAAGTGTCTCCGAACATCCTTGGGTGGAAGAGGCGGAAATGCATGGTCTGCGTCACAGTTCGGTTATTGCACCAACTCAACCAATGACTCTTCAACAAAGGTTCACGTCGGAACTTAACGCAGAACAGATGCCATAAAAAAGTAGGAGGCAAAAGTAATAGACCTATACAGACACAGAAACTTACTGGAATCTTTTTTAGTCAAGAATGACTCAAGTGATGGATTTCGCACATGTTCGTCCCACAAGGGTCCAATAGGACTTAATTAGCAAAAAACATCGAGTTTTCATTAAGATAATTGCTATCTAGTTTTCTTGCTTTTTAAATGCATAACTTGCAAGTATTTTGCATGGAGTAAGGTATTGAGTTTCCGTTTACTTTGTTAAAATTGTAGTAGCAAGTATTTTGCTCTAAGCCAATTATTCCCTATCTTTAGCACGTTTTTCTTATTTTTTTTTTTTTCTTTTTCCTTATTGCTCAACTATGTCTAGCTACTTTTGATTAAAGCCTTTTAGACTTTTAATCATTAGTGACATAGACAACAAGTCTATTCTGGGCGTTCTATATATTATTGTTGTCTTATTTATTCTTTCAGATAGTCCCTAATACATTCTTTACGTTTGTCTTTCGATGTTCTACTGAGATCCCTTTCTTTGCTAGGGTTTGTTCCTCCAATGTTTACTTACTCGCAACTGATAGACTAGACAATTGCTTTGCTCATTTCATATATACATGCTATGGTTGTTTCTTGATATGGTACGCTCATTTTTTTTTATCTCCTGAAATCAAGGTTAGTTAGCCTCGCAAGCTTTGGATAGCATCGCGTCGGGTCTCAAAAGGAATGTTGTCAAATAGAGAATGATTTGCTTGAGCTAAATCTTTGTAGTCATCAGGAACGCCCAGCTAAGAGCACCTTATCCAATTTGTCTTTCAAATGTTGCAAGTTAGAGAGAACATTCAATGCATGTGTCTGCTTGTGTGCCCGTACATGAGCGTCAAATTGGCCCACAAGACATGCAAGGTCACTTGACGCTTCGACACCCAATTTGAACCATTCTAGCGCTTTGGGCACATTATCAAACACATTGAGTTCCATAAAACCCAACGATGGAAAGCTTTCTTGTAATCCTCTAGACGCACTGATTTCCAAATGATAACGTGATAGTTCTGGATCCGTAATAGTGTAGAGCTGTCCCAAGTAGTAATGAGCCTTGACTATATGCGTGTCTAATTCACCAAAGCAAATTGCCTTTTCAAGATGCATCTTAGCACGTACCAAGTCTGCGTGTGGTTTCACGTAATGGTAATAATAAATCCCCAAGTTGGAATGCACATGACTTGCCAACACCGTTTTGTCCTCTAAATCCAAAAACTCGTGCCAATATTGGGCCGCCTGTGCATGATAATTTTTCGAAAAGGCAAGGTCGCCTGCCAACTTGAACAGAAGAGGATGTTTTCTTTCTGTCAACTGGCGAATAAGCCCATTCGCATACTCATAGTCTTCTGGCAGTGTATCTGGAGAAGCTATCAGTTCAAAGGCAAGCATAGCGATGGCATCATTGTTTCCCAATTCTGCAGCTTGTTCGACTAACTCATTCTCCAAGTCTACCAAATTCTTATTCACCGAATTGGTGACCGATCGCAAGTTGTGCAAAATCGACCGGAGAATCATGAGATCATCATGCTTTGTGTACGGAGGTAGTCTTATTTGCTCTGGTTCATCAAGGTTGGTGTAGACGCTATTCAAGATGGGAAGCATCTTTGAGTATGCCAAACGTGCATCCGCATCGAAAAGAAGTCTGTTGATTGTTTTCTTCTTGGGAAGTATCGTAGAGAGGCTTGGCCGAGCTGACGACAGGTGTCTTACGAAGTTTCGGAGCATGGCGTTACCAGGAACAGATGATGGCGTTTCCCTCCACGTGAATTAACATGTGACTTGTTGTTGATGCGGTACTTGGAAAATATGTACACCTCGGCTATATGCAGAGATACATGGACGCTTCGGGCTTAAGACAACTACGTTGAGCAGAAAAGTAAATGCTCGTACAAGACAGGACCTTATGTGTTCGTTGAAACCGCTCATGTTTTATGACCTCGTACAATGTTTGTTGGCCGGATCTGCTGCTGTGTTTAGTGCCTCATGCAGGTCTTCTACTTACGGCACTTAACGGATTTAGCATGCATGGCTCATGCATGACGATGTTCAAACGCCGTTAGGTAACAAATTATGCCATTTGTTAAGGGATCCCCCACGTCTGAAAAATGCAGTTATCACCGAGTTTACGTTGCATGGGCTTTGCTGGTAATTTCATTATAAAAAATCATACAGGGATACGTGCGTGGAGGCTGCAACTGCACTCCTGTATTACAATCGAACATGGATACGACGTTTCAAAGCTACGATCCAAAAAAAAAAAAAAAAAATAATTCAACAAAGTAGTTAGACCTCCATTGCGCATAGAGTAAATGCATTTGATTATAACCAGAGCTCTGGACGAGATCTATATAGTATACCTGTGAAAGGATTATTAGCAACTAAGTGAGTGTCGTAACACACTTCAATGAGCGTTAAAATCAATAAAATTGTCAACATGCGCATTGGAGCTTGCTGTATTCGGCGTACCATTGGAGAGGGCCGGGCTGTTTATGATAAGTTCGTTGGGGTGAAAATCGTTGGATTCGAAGTCATAGTGATGTTCCACTTGCTGAGGATGATAACCAGAATCTGCCTCGTAAGTATTGGCCATATCATGACTACCTTGATTGTATTCATTTTCCGGACGATGTATATCAACATTTTCCTGTCTTGAATGCAGATTTTTTTCGAGTTGCGAGTCATTCTCATATGATTCTATGCCCATTGATGGGCTATTGATGAAATGTGACCCTTCGTTTTTGGATACATGTGGTAAAAAGTTAGAGTTCGGTGTTTGCACAGTGTTGAAGAAATCAGGAGTGGTTGCCGAGAACATCTCCTCGTATTCTTTTCTTTCTGGTTGATTGACGCCTAGAGAAGAAATGTGCATTTGCTTCTCTTCATTGTATCTGGACTTTATGACGCCCGGAGATTCGTGACTTCCTGATGACATAGGTGAAGTATCTTCAAAATTGGCGATTAGAGTGAGTCCTTTCAGGGCATACGGCTTCTCGCTATGCGGCGTGTCCTCCCAGGAAGACACGTCTTGTTTAATCTGATAATCATCGTTGTGATTCTGGCTGTGAATCATATTATTTGGTAAACCATCTGCACGAGGGCTGCCTGTTGCCGCTAGAGGCGTGATTGTTTCTGAGACACCCGCATATTCTTTTTGCAGAAGCTGATTGCTCAAAATGTAATTATTAAGGAACTGGAGAGAGTTTTTCGCACCAACCAATACGTGAGGCGTCGAAGTTCCACCTGGAGCATAAAAAGCGGAGCTTACTTGTTGACCTTCACTGAAATCATCACAGATAGACCATTGGTTGAGGTTTGCATTCACACCATTGAAGAAATAGACGGAAAACTTAGGTTTCCGGGCAAGATTGAGGCGCATTTCATTGTTTTCTTTGCTGAGCGAGCTGTCTAAAATCGAGCTGTGGAGAACAGAACTGATAGGATAAAAAATTCGAAAGAGGATTTTTGAGTTATTGGAAATCGCCGAGAAGAAATAGTTAATTTCATGGTTCTTGCGCGATAAAATAACCATAAGATCCACATTCTCCATGACACTGTTGAGCGTGAAAGGTGACAAGTTAACTAATGACCGCAGCAACGTCGCACCATTATGCTGGCCACTTTTTATTCGTTGCCAAGAACCAACAGAAAGAGACGAACAGTCAATAAAGCAATAGTTTTCATTCAACTCAATTGGAATCATCCCTTGCGCACGTAATCCTGCTGCTGAAACTTGGGTCAACAGGTTTGAACGTGACGAAACGTTACTTCCCCCATGTTTGACGGGCTTTCCCATACGTTCAAACTTTCTGACTTTTGCCCGTCTGTTTTGAAACCAGATTCGGACTGCTTTTTCGGACATATTGGTCCGTTCACTTATCTCCTTGCGTTGATCTGGAGAAGGGTTTGGGTTAGAGTCGAACTCTCGTAGAAGATAGTCAAGAACCTCTCCTGACGCCCGAGTTCTTTTAGTAGAAGTTTCCTCGGCCATTTGTTTGGTTGAAATGAAAGTTTTTTTTACGCCACAGGTCCTTGGGAAGTGTGAAGATCTTATAAAGGGGAGATTATGTCAATGGTAGATGGGTTGAGTTTTCGGGGCTCTACGGCTATCTTTTCTCCAAACTATTGGTGATAAGGAGAACCTCAAGGAGGTTTGAGGGTATGGTGAAAAAGATAAACCGCTCTGTCTCGTGCAGAACAATGGGGAAAAAAAGGAAGGGAAACTAAAGAACAAAAGGAAGTGAAAACAGCGAATACGAGAAACTAAGAAATACGTCCAAGATTCTTTCTTGTTTAAGATTCTGTGGAGTCGTGCGCATACCAGTCCCGGAAGAAACGTGTTTGCATAATTACGTGCTGGTCTCTTTCAAACGTATCATTTGAAAAAAATTTGTCGCTTAGCTCGAAGGGCTAAAAATGAAAAATACAGCAGTGGATGGTGAATTTTCTTCTTTTTTTTCTCTGTGCTACTTCTTTGTACTCGGTCTTTGTTGCCGAGGCGAAAATGCATACGCAGATCTTGCATTTCCCTTCCTTTACATTGGACTCATGCAGCAGCGAATGGCCTTTATAGAAGACCAACGCAGATCCTTACATAGCCTTACAAAAAATAGAATCTGCAACTTTTTGTTGTACTGAAACTTATAATTATGTAAATGCTAGGATTAACTTCTATATTGCTGATCAAACGAGTATTGCACTTTGGTTTGACGTATTTACATGTATAGTGACGTACGAAGTATCTATTCAAGCAAGCATTGGCAGAAGAAATCACCAGAAAATAATTGGAATGCCAGTTCATGATACCCTAGACATATTTGCCACAATATATCTCAGCAGGCTGGAAGTTTGATAAATTGTTAGGAATAATCCTGTAAGAAGATCAAGTAGAGTAGCGCCAGTTCTCACTAAAACACACACCCTAACACATAGGGGCACGTAGGTAAGAATGGGGAAAAAACTGACAATGTAAAGAACTTAAGCATAGTAATCAACAGGGACCAATTATAAGTGTGAAAAGAAAAAAACCATACGCCACATGGCCAAACAAGGAAGCGAAAAATAAAAAGCGAAAAGTGATATTCGAATGAGTGAAACGAACTAGGGAGCTTACTCAAAATGAAAGATTGCGATCCCAGAGAAGACTCAATTACAAACATTGTAGATCTCTTCAGTCGATTATTCAAGAATGAGTAATCAAATTCAAGTGGGTTTGAGTTTCCACTTAAAACATAAATGGTGATCTCATAAACGGAAAACGGGGAAAGTATGTAAGACTTGTCACTTGAGGTGATGAATAATGAAAGATGGTGGTTTAGAATGGACTCCTCTTATGGCTCAAAGCACGGTTTACTTTAAGATAATATTGAAGTGTCCTTAAATGATATCTCACTTTTCATTCACGGCGACTCTAAGCCTTAATTCTGTAGGGATAATATCACTTACACGATCCGTATTAAGAACCTTGAGGAGCCACTTCTAATTTGAGTTACTCAGGGTGGAGAAGGAAAATTTTGACAAACTATTTTCTACCAGGATCATAACTGATCACGAAGATACCTATATTTTTCGGCGCAACGTATAAATTTTTGGTCGATACAAGAGTCATTGCGACCCACGTGGTTTTCTCCCTCCCACTGAACCATATTTCCATCCAAGGGAAATACTCGTATGAAGAAATCATACTTGCGAGCGTGTCAGTAATACAAAGCAATTTTTGAACTACCTTGCGGGATGGAGAGGCTTCATGGTGAAAATACTTCGAGACGCCCTGTTTGATATCAGTGGTCAGAAAGCCCGTTTATTCTAACCTGTGAAGAAAATCTATTGAAGAGCTCATAAATATGTGTCACTACTTGTGATGTGTATAATTCACTCTGTCTAATGCAGTTGGCCGTTCATTAGAGAAGAAGCTCATCCATAGATAGGTCCTCAAGCGCCGCAAAACAACTCTTGATCTCACGCCACTTGGCAGTAGTGGGATCCCATTCCCGGAGTTCCTTGACAAGCTCGTTGAGTAGCTTTAAGTTCCCAATATGCTTAGTTTCGAGCATTTCATGAACAAGCCCGCGTAAGTTCCAAGGCACATGAAACAAGTTTGGCGTGGCAAGTGTGCTGGTACTCTGCTCGGCAACGTACGCCTCCCTTTTGTGCACGAGACTAGTTGACTCCAAGGCAAAACGCACGCCCAAATCGTAGAGTTCGTTGCACCTCAAAATGCGGCCGTGGGCGCCCGCCGCGCCCTTCGGGCCTAGGAGCGACGCGCCCAAATCGCGCGCGAGCGCCAGGGTCCCACGCCCCACATTCTGCATTGTGGCGAGAACGCCCGTAAGCGTCACCAAAAACGGCGGTGCATCGCCTTCTCCCGCATACACGCACCGGAAGATGTTGGGGTGGCAGACATTGTCTGCGTGCGCCAGCGCAAGCGGCACAAACTGGTCGCCTGCCGCAGCAGCCAAGGTGATTTTCACATTGTGTGCGCAGAGAGTGCCAATGTTGTGCGCCAATTGTTCGCTCGCGCGCAGGCGCGGGTTCTGTAAAGAGAACAAATCGTCAATGGCGGCGCGCTCGCTAGGAGTGTACGCGCGCAGCACCACCGCAGAATCGCGCAGCACGGCCGGGCCTTGCCAGGCGCCGGCCAAGGCGAGAAACGCCATTTTGGGCGGGGCCACGCCTAGCCGCGCCGCCACTCCACACGCCACCGCAGCGGCCAAGGGCGCCGCCACCGAATTGCACACAAAGTAGATCAAGTCGCAGCCGCGAAGTTCGGCCGCCCAGTTGGTTAGGAGTGCAAGCGACTCTTCCGTGCGCGCGCCCAAGGGCCCCAGGCCTTCGAGTGCGATGGTGGAAACTGTGCATTTGTCTGTGCACCGAAAGATGGCCGCTTGCGCATGCTTGGCCATTTGTGACGCGCTGCCCGTATGCTGGCCCACAAGCACCTTGGCGAGCTTGCTGGGCATGAAGCTGTGAATGCTCACCACCACAGCATGGCGCACTGCGATGGTGTTGCTCCGCCTGTAGAGATGCCGCTCCGAAGTCTGCGAGCCCCAAAAGGTAGCCTCTGCCTGGAGCCGGGCCCGCGTGCGGAGCGTGATGCGCCGCATGCACTCGAGCGACGGCACCACCGACCCGGACCCCGCGCCGCGGCCCAAGGCTATTTCAGCCGCCTCCGCCTGGGTGCGCGGCCGAACCTCTATAGGCACAGGCAGTCTTTCGCTGGCGGTGCCTGCGACAGCCAACTCAAGACTGAATGCACTTGCCGTGCCTGAAGCGTCGGCGGCATTTGTCTTTGCTTTTGTGTTGCCATTTGCCCCTCCCCAATTTGAGACATCCGTTGAAGTGGCATTGTGTGTATTGTTGATAGTTGTATTGTTGGCCACTGTTCCGTTTGCACTTGCGCTCGCACTATTTTCGCCTGTTCCTTTACTGGCTGTGCTCAAACCGGTTTCCGTGCGTGCACTTGTTGTCGCGGTGTCTCCCATATGGGCGGCTCGTGGCTCGGCCCGCACAGCGTACAGACATCGGTCGCGGGCGCTTTCCACGGCGAGCATCGCCGCACGAACTAGGTCGTCGTCTGGCTCCTGGCGCGAAAAGGGCCACCAAGTACTGGGCGCGGGCGCAAACAGCCACCAACCAAAAAAGCCCTGGTTAGCTGCCTCTGCACCAGTCCCGCTAGTGTCTGAAGAGCCCGTTTCGGGTGGGGTAGGAGGTTTTGTACGGTTTTCCTGTGTTTGCTTGTCCGTCACGGTGGTTCTATTTCTGTCGCCCGAAGGGACGCTTTTTTCGCTCTGGATGTTTTTTCCTGTAGTTTGATTGTTCTGATCACTTTGTTTGTTCTGGCTAGTTTGTTTATTCTGACCAGTTTGTTTATTCTGACCAGTTTGTTTGTTTAGGCTGGTTTGTTTGTAACCAGTTTGTTTGTTCTGACCAATTTGTTTCTTCTGACTGGTTTGCTCGTTCCGACTGGTTTGCTCTCTCAGATGTGGTGTGCTAGTCGCACTTGTTGTAGGTTGTTTTGTCGTAGAATGTTCTGTTTTGACTCCGTTTTCCTTCTTGCCAGCATTTCCGTTCTTGGTTATGTGGGTCTCTTGTTCGCCACTTTGAGTTTTTGACGATCCCTCCTGATGTGTACTATTTGCAAACCCACATCTTAGATCACCACTCTCTCCTGTATCTGCCTCTGACTCTTCTGGTATTCGTGGTGCTGGTTTCCTTATGGCAGTTTCGGCAGCCTCCATTCCATGTTGCTCATTGTTCGTCTCCGTCGTGCCTGCCTCGGACCCTCGATCTTCGTTGGCCCCAGCCTGAGAACCAATGTCCTTTTTGCTTTCATCCGCCGTCCCATTGGGCAATATACTTGCTCGCCACCAGGTGGACATGATGAATCTTTTGCTTGTTAAGCTTATCGCATGCACTCTACTATCAAGTGTGCATGCTCATTATGCATGTGCACACCAGCCTATCTGACGTTTTCTATTCTCTTCATCAGTATCCACACACAATCCATTCGCTTGGCTCTTTTCTTCATTTTGTTGCATTCTCTTCTCGTGGTCGCATTGCTCTTTTATTGCCACTTTTCCTGTTCGTCTGTCTCCCTTTGCTAGTTGCTCTTATCTTCCATCCCATGTCAGACCCATGGTCTCAGGTTGCAACACGCCTTGCCCAGCGAGACCATCTCGAAAAGCATGATTCGGAGTTTTACAGCTACTTTGCCCAGCTCGCACGCTTGCGCCCATCCAAGTCGGAGCCTGAGCGTCTCGAAAAGGAAAACCGCCAGCTCCGAGACGAAAACGACTCGTTAGTGCTGAGGCTCAACAAAAAAACGCTTCAGATGGAGCTCGCCGAAGCCCATGCTCGCGAACAAGCGAAAGCCATAGAGACCCATAAGTCCCGCCTAGCACGTCTACAACAAAAGATTGACCAGCTCACGTTGGAAATCCAAGAGAAGAATCATTCGATCCAAATCCTCACCGACGAGAATTTGGTGACACAAATCCAGCAAAACGTCATGAAGGGCGAGCTCGACAAGCTTAAAGCCGAGAACGATCGTCTCTTGCACAAAGTATTGGAGAAGAAGGGTGCAGAAGCCGAGGCTATGAACAGTGAGCTAAAGTAAAGAAGAACGCCTGAGAGCAGATTGAAAATGTGATATTCAACCACGTATCTAATTTGTCAAAAGAATAAGAAGTGAATTCTTAGTTTGCCAAAAACAAAATTCTTCTTTTAACGAATGCCGAAATCTTGAATCACAGAGGTAGATCGGACAAAGAATGCGAGGCATTTCGAACCGACACATTAGTTTTAGTAAGAACATTAGTGCGTCTATTTCACCTCAATGTTTCATTAACGTACGCTATTTGAGATCTGGGTACTTGTCCACTTTATTTTTGAACTAATAATTGGTGCTTTCTAGTGAGTATGAGCATCTATTGTTCCATGGTCTAATTTTTCTTCCTATCCATGCAACTAATATCTTGGTTAATCTTAACTACAGTCTTTAATTAACAAGATTCTCATTATCTTTTCATAATCATATAGCTTATTTGGAGGTGTCGACAACGTATCTACCCAAGATCTTACCTTCTTCCATCAACTTGTAGATGCCAGCCAATTCGGACAAACCAACAATCTTGATTGGGCACTTGATCAAGCCTCTGGAGAAGAAGTCAATAGCTTCGGAAGAGTCAGCTCTGTTACCGACGTAAGAACCACAGATGCTAACAGACTTGACAACAGCTTCGAAAACTGGGGCAACAACCTTAGCGCCAGCTGGCAAACCAACCAACACAACAGTACCGGTGGATCTAATGTACTCAACAGATTGAGCAATAGCCTTCTCGGAGACAGACACGTTAATAGCACCGTGTGGACCACCGTTGGTAGCCTTGATCACATCAGCAACAATGTCCTTGCTCTTGGTGAAGTCAACAAAAGCCTCAGCACCCAAGGACTCACAGAAAGCCTTCTTCTCATCACCACCGTCAATACCAACGACTCTGTAACCCATGGCCTTGGCGTATTGGATGGCCAAAGAACCCAATCCACCACCAGCACCAGAAATACACACCCATTGACCAGCTTGCAACTTGGCGGTCTTCAAAGCCTTGTAAACGGTGATACCAGCACACAAAATTGGGGCAACGAGAGCCAAGTCAGTTCCTTGAGGAATCTTAGCGGCTTGCACAGCGTCAGCAGTACAGTATTCCTGGAAGGAACCGTCGTGGGTGTAACCAGACAAGTCAGCGTCTGGACAGTTAGATTCGTCACCGTGTTCACAGAACTCACATTGCATACAAGAACCGTTCAACCACTTGACACCAGCGTAGTCGCCAATCTTCCAGCCTTTGACGTTAGAGCCCATGCCAACGACGACACCGGCACCTTCGTGGCCACCGACCAATGGCAACTTAGTGTCCAATGGCCAGTCACCCTTCCAGGCGTGCAAGTCAGTGTGGCAAACACCAGAGTACTTGACGTGGATCAACAATTCGTTTTCCTTTGGTTTTGGAACTGGGATGTCCTTGTATTCCAATGGACCACCGTTTGTTTCAAAGACAACGGCCTTTTGAGTTTGTGGGATAGACATTCTTTGTTTTTTTCTAAGGGGATTCAATTGAGACAATTGAGTGTGTAGAAGAAAAAAAAAACCTTGCTACCTGTCGGGGGCTCGAACTATTTATACATGGCTGGTTTTTTGGTTGGGCACCAATAGACCGTACACCTGAGTGGTGCGCTTCGGTATAGGGTGACGGTGCGGCTCGCAACTTTCCAGAATAGGCAATGCGATCAGATGTTTTCTGGGGGTTTCTTAGATCCTGCACATACTCGGAGAAGTGGTGTGTTCCCTTGAGCGGGGCACGATAGACCGAAGATAGACTAGTGAGCAACAACTCAAGATATGAGTGCCATTGCCAACCATCATGTTGCCGGATGGTTCATCTAAGCATAAGGAATGAGAGCAAATGTCCATTGTGCAGTTGCGCCAAACGTAAGACTCTAACTAGCCATTGTCTGGACTGTCAGGTGATCATGCGCTTACAAAGATTGCGAACAATGCACTTAAATGGCCACGCGAACACAACCTGACCAAGATCGCACCACGCGGGTTTTTGATGCTCCGAGGCGTTTTGAGGGGAGAATCCGAGACTTATGTACCATCAATTTTGAGCGGAGTGTGGTTATAGTTTGCGACCCTGGTGGTTCGGACATTGTATGAGAGGGGCAGGACCCTTACGTTTCAGAATCATTGCCCCTCCCCCGCCCCCACTGCTTGTATCAATTTGGTATTGGAAGTCCGAAGCCAAAGGTCAGATGATCTAGGTATCTGACATGTCGTATCGCATCGTCAGATGGCCCGTTACTGGGGACTAGATGTGCCCGATGCAGGGTCTCGTAATTGGAATACAACAATGTCGCCCGCGCGCCGAGGGTCCCAATGGAAGTAAGTGTTGAAAAAGCGGCGGCACATAACGTATTTTGGGCCCACGTGGTCCTGAACTATTTTTTCATGTGGCTCAAAAACCACAAGGTGTGACGGCCATGGCCGCAGCGGGGTTCCGAGTTCATGCTGCAAAAATTGCTGTGGGTGGTCGAAAAACCGGTCCAGTTCGTCCCGATAAGCCCGCACGTTTTCAACATTGCCTGTAGCCAAATGGAGCGGCGGCTCACACGTAAGGAACCACGAATCTACGAAGTCCGGGCGATGCATAGTGGCATGCCACGGTGTGGAATGGCAAGGCGTAAGTAGACCCAAGGACTGTACTGTAGGGTCAGAGCGCGCCCAGGCAACTAAGTCGAGAGCGCCGCGCTCATGGACGCGCGAGAAGAAAAAAGCCACCACCGCATGGAAAGCAAGCGCGCAGAAAAGGGACCGGCGCCAGTGCCATGCGCGCCAGCGAACAACTTCAGCCGCAGCCAAAATAAGCATGGCCGGGTATACTGGTTGCAAAAAACGCCATTCTTTGTGAGCTATAGTCAGAAATGTTGCCATCACAAACAAGACAGCGCCCGATAACTTGGCAAGGGCACCACCCGAATAAAGCGCCCGCACGCTCCCACACACAAAAAAGGGCAAGTACGCCATGAGCATTAATGGGAGGCCCTGCCCCACATAAAAGTGCCATGGTGCAGAGCCATAAAACACCAGGAGATTACGCACCACGTTGAACTCGACAAAATTCCAAAGCGGAAACGTCCATTCGCCATAGAAATAGCGGTCAGAACATGCGGCAAGGGCCAACGAAAGAATTCCCGCCGCTAATGCTGCAACAGCAAAGGAGAAGAGTGTTTTAGGATGTTTCCAGTGAGCGCACACCACAGTGCCCCCAAGAAAAAGCCACACTAATGCGTTTGTGGGGCGCACGATGCAGCTCGCGCCCGCCCAGAGACAGGCGTAAAAAACATTGCGCGCGCTTTTTCCGTGCCAGGGCCATTGCGCGAGTGCGGCCAATGTGAGCGCCGTCTCCAAGTTATTCAGAAACGACCGGGCCAACACATACCAGTTCCATGCACTAGCCAAGGACATCAACAATGCCGTACGGGCTACACGCAGGTCTCGGGTCACGTACCATGCCACTCTGTATGTGCCCACATCTATGCTGGAGGCAATGAGAGCCCCGACTAATTTTGGGGCGAGGTCGATCGTCGCGCGCTCCGAGAGTACAACCCGCACAGCCTTATAGGCTGCGGCATAGAGAAGCGGGTGGAGCGCCAGCCGAAGCCGCTCGTGCCACTCCCATGTAATGTAACCATAACCAAAAACTATGTTGTGGGCAGGTTCTAGTGCCTGGAAAAACTCGTCAGGCTGAAAGAAAGTAGCGAGCGAAAAAGCATTGGCAAAGCGGAAAAGCACTATTGCAAGAAGCGCCCAGTGCTCCGTACGAGCTGTATATCTGGACATTGGTGGGCGTTGGGATGTCTAGTTTCGAGAAGTGTTCAATTGATAGTGCTCTGTTGATTATAAAAGTGCGTACCCAGGAATGATGCTTCTACTTCTGGGGATTATGATTATCGACTGTATGTATAATCACAGAGGTTGTGTATCTTCGTGGGAGTAATTCTCTAATATCGCAAGACGGCCCTCCTAGTTAGATTCAGACTAGCTGTTTGGGGAAAACTTGAGGATCAGAGTATATTGCAAGATGCTGGAACGAACGAACGATGACTTCACGTTGGCGTGCAGTGAAAAGTCGCGCTAAGTCAAAATGTGGGGATGCGCGCCAATCTGAGGTTTAAGATGCCAAGCTTCAATTCACACTATCGACTTGGACACTTTCCGTTCCATAGTTGTGTGGATTGAATTCACTTATTTGCTTCTTCAGTCTTTCCCGTTTAGGTGGCCCAATCCTTGCTCGACTGTTTAGCTCATTTCACCTTTGCATCGTTTCACCATTTCATTCCGTCCTCCCACCTTTGCATTCCGTCATCATTGCATTGCCGTTGCTACACTTGCATCATCCGTTCCTAAATTTCATTTATCTCTTTGTTCTTTCTTTGCATATCCAGCACACTTACATCGATGGACCTGGCGTGTTCTAACATTCAGCAGTGCCATTACCTTCTTGCCCAGGGCAAAGTGGGGGAAGCACGAGAGCGCGCAGTGTCTGCGGCACGGGAAGTGGCTCCGTTGATTGACGCTGAGCCTCGGGCGCGCGTGTTGGCCGGTTTTGCGCTCAGTTTGGTCGAGCGCATCGACCAAAAAAAGGGCGCCGCGCTCTCGCTTTCAGAAAGAGTCAACTGGCTCACATCAAGCATCCATGGTGTTTTGTGGTTTCCAATTCTCACTTTTGGGCTGTCCAAATCGTCGGCAATAAAATCAACAGTCTTTGCACCACTTGCTGCCAAAGAGCCCGAGCTTAGAATGCCAAAGTTGGCGCCTGATTTCCGGGTTGCACTTCAGCAAGTGGAGCCAAATTCGTCTCTCGACGGGCTCGCCGATTTATATCAAGATTTGCTCGGTAATTGCTCTTTTGTTTCTTCTGTTTTGCTGGTTTCCGCAGCGGGTCTAGGGGCCCAACTTCGTGATTTGGTGTTCGTGTACCCTGGAAAACCGGGTGTATCGACATCAGACCCCCAACATCAGAGTGAAAAACTGTCTAGTGGGATGGAGCATTTGATAACCCAAATGCTGGACACGTCCTTAAATGGTGAGAAGAAGAGCTTAGAAGATGGGATACAAATGTATCATGAGCATTCTCAGTCAGATCAAATGTCTCCCGAGAACGTGGTCACTGAAGCTTCTGCAACAAACCGGATGTCTCTTCATCTGCTTCGTTCCCTCAACGTGCCTTCCCAGGCTACGCAAAATCTACCCCCTCTAAGCAGTTTGCCCGATGCTACAGCTTCACGGTTGAAAATCAGGCTTTACTTCAATGGCTGTTGGCGCGAAGCAGCGCTTTCGCCTACACTCCCATTCGTTTCGCCGCCCTATGCGGACCGCAGTCTTATTGTACGCTCGTCATCCAATGCCACACTTATCTGGCCCGCTCTTTTGGAAAAGGCCCATGTTCTTGTCTCTGGTTCTCACTATGATTTCACCGGCTCCAATATGGCTCACGACACATATATCCTAACGCGCTGGTGGCCCGAGGTATTTTCGGCGGGCGATGCTCGCAAGCTCCGGCGTCTAGACCGCAATCCACATGTTGCGCTTGGCTTGGGCTCGGGCGAAATGTCACCCCGTCTCGCGCGAGAACTAGGCGTTGTGCCTAACCACGATTATGTGGTGGATTCGGTGGGCGAAATGGGTGTGGACCTCATAAACCCATGGCAAAGTAGTGAGCGCACTTTACATGTACCGTGGGCGCAGCTTCCCCACTTCCCTTACGTGTACGCAAACCATCGGCCACAGTATTCCCATTCGGCAGCCGTCTCGTTTGTGTGTCCAGGCACTGAATGGCCCGACTTCTACGTCGAGCGGCGCCCGCAGTACGTTGTGCGCACAAGTGCGAAAACAGTGCATTTGGTGGTGGAACAGTTTCTCGGGCCCCAAAATGTTCCGTTTGCATTGTCGGTGTATCGCGGCACAAAAGGCCGTGTAATTTCGACGGACCAATACGAGTGCGTTTCTGGTGGCGCCAGCACAAACGCTCGAGTGATGTATTATCCTCTTTCATTAAACCCGGGGGTGGACTATACAATTGTGGTTTCGACTGGAAGTGCGAAAAGCGCACATACTTTTTCGCTCGAAGCGTTTGCAGACGCTCCTGTGGATCTCGAGCGAGCGCGCGCTCCGCACAAAGCATTGCCCGAAATCAAAGGTCTGTGGGCCATGGGCTTCAATGGCGGCCATTGGGCTCTCGCATCGTATATCGACAATCCACAATATGACATTGAAATCCCCACAGGAACAGAATGTCTACTGCTAGTTTTGGTGGCAACCGATCATAGTGCGCTCGTGAATGTGCATCTTTTCCATCGCGAAAAAGCGGACTTTCAAAAGAAACTCCGTAACTTTGATAAGGCAAAACTTCTTTTTTCAGAGGATTACACGCGGCAGCTCCATCGGTCAGAAGTGCAGAATCCAGAGCCGGGGACCTATCGCTTGGTTGTTTCCTGCTATGACAATAGCCTGACGTGCGATTTTTCTTTAGTTGTCGCATACTCCGGTAGAGAGGCTGTGAGTATTGTGCCTGTTCCGCAGGCGCTCGGGACTTTTGTTCATGAGTGTCTGTTCGAATGGCGCGGTGCCAACCGCCATAAACTTTACTTGCGCACGCGGCACGCGCAGGCGCGAGTCACTTTTCATGTCCGAGCGCCCGCGCGAAACCTCCAGGAATACATTCCGGCAGTGCGCGCTTCGGTCTTCGACGCAGAAACACAAGAAATCGTTGTGGTTACCAGCGAATGGAACAATAGCATTTACGGCGTCTTCCTTGAGTGTGTTCTAGAGCATGCTGATAGGCCCTATGTGCTACTCGTGGAACGATTCGAAAGAGGTGACGGCCCGTGCCGAATCACAGTGGGTAGCAGTGCGAAAGTCATAGTGGAAGAATTGAAGTAGATGGTTGGCTAAGGCAAGCCTATATTTGTGGTTACCGTGCTGTATTACGTATCACATCTTTTTCTACTTCTGTGACTGTTTTCATGGTCGTGGTAGCAGCATGACAGCCTGGATTATTGGGTATGGCATAAATCGCACAAATTACAATACTCAAGAAACACGTTGTCAAATCCATTGAATATCCACGCAGTGGCATTCGTATACGTAAAACCTTTAACCTCTCTGAATTGCTTCTCAACTCTTCGCTAGTAATCTCACCGCCTATCTTTTGCTACCATTCCCCACTATAGTATTGCCCATATTGTCGCGTCTGCATACAAGCCACTACTACTAGTGCTCACCAAAAGCCACTTGGCCTCTTTCAACAACTATGAAGTTCTGGGTCCCGGTATTGTTTTCGTGGTTGTGGCTGGTGGCACTTGCCGCATATTCCAACACGGAAATGCGCCAGATTCTTTCGGCCAAGGCCTCAAGTGGTGTCATTGACATTGCCGACGATAACTTTGAAAAGTTTCTCTCAGGCGCCCGTGATTACCACTTAGTGGTTTTCATGTCGTCAGACTCTCCACAGCTCAATTGCATCTTGTGTCGTGAGGTTCAGCCTGCGTACCGTGCAGTGGCAAGCTCATGGGACCATGCCTTCCCCAAAGGTGTGGATGACGGGAAAGACGTCTACTTTTTGGCCGCAGAATTCGCCGACAACAGAAAGTTGTTCCAGCTTATGCAATTGGACTCGATCCCCAAAATCTTCCACTTTGCACCATCTTCGGATCCCTCTCCACGGGCTTGGCTCAAGGAAAACACACAATACCAGTTTTTCCAAGGCGAACATGTAAGCTTACTCAGACAATGGGTTGCGTCCTTCACGGGAAAGCTTTTCGATATTTACGTTCCGCCAGACTATGGCCGCATGGCCATGAATGCCTGTGTCACATTTGCGGTGGTTATGGTGGTCAGAAGATTCAGAGGCACTTTATTGAATGTTCTCAACTCGTCCTTCACTTGGGGTACCTTGTCACTCGTGTTGATTTTGTTGTTTGTCAGTGGCTACATGTTCAATCAGATCAGAAACACTCCATACTTGCGTGAAAATGGTAACAACATCGAATACATTGCACCAAACCCTCAGGCTCAGTATGGCTTGGAAACCCAATTGCTTTCGACTTTGTACGGGTCTTTGGGAATGGCATTTGTTCTTTTGGTGAATAAGGCTGGCTCTATCCGCAATCCTAAGGTACAATTTTTTGCTGTGGCTGTGGTATTGACCGCCATATATTTCTTATACAGTCTCTTCCTTTTCATCTTCTCCCAAAAGCACATGGGTTACCCATACATGATGTTTGAATTTTGAACATTTAAGGCAGGTATCCGTGCATCAACGTCGTTCAACCCGAATGCATGGTATAGCGCAATACACTTAGTCAACGAAGCTCTTGACGTTTCCTTTGATCGTAGACTTTTTCAATCAGTAAATTACTAGAGGGGTGCCGAGGAATGTCATTGCATGAAGAAGTTCTGATCATGAATCATTTGCACACGAATAACTTCCACGTGCGTTAGTTACACTATTCTGCCCTTGAGCAAAAGCATCGCAAGTTCCTGACTTGATTAAATACTTCGAAGCTTGGATCACCAAACGGTACACATGAGCAATAACGACTTGATGGTATTGTTGATAGTTGTAACACAAAGATGTACTTACCAACCCGCCATTCTTCTTCAGCTTGATGGCGTCATCAATCATTCATTCGAGCGTCTACTTCACTTAACACCCTTCGCTGTGTGTCCAACTGTTTTTGAATGGCGCCAATTCGAGCTCTAATTGCTGTTACATCCTCTTCAGAAAAGTCCTTTGCATTCTCTAACGTCTGTAGTCTATGTTCAATGTGCTTCAATCTGGTGATGAGGATATGTTGCGACTGATGAAGCAGACTGAAATTCTCGTGAATACTATCGAGTGATCCCGATAGAATCGAATGTGCTGCAAGTTCAATTGGGTGGAAATCAATCTCGTCCGGAGGCATTACATCTGTGATTTTCGGGCCGCGCTGCGCAAATGTGCCAATAATGTACTCACATAAAACGTAGAAAAAAAAACAGAAAACAAGCGGAAGCTTTTGAAACTTCGGTGTCCAAAAAATCGAACACCTGCCTCAAGAGACGCTAGCTTAAACTTAACTTCGTTTCGGAAACGGACCTACAATCACCGAAAGCTGCCAACATCTATCAACATGCGCATGTGCATGCCAAACCTGCACTCTTCTGCTCCATGGGGTCGTATACCATGGCACTAGAATATCCAATGCTGCCATAGATTTTCAATAGCAGATGTTCACCAAACGATTTTTACGTTTTACTGTGATCTGTTGCTTCGACGGGTCTCAGAAAGGTGGAACAGCGTCCCTTTTTCTTCCATCACTCGTGCCTCTTGCTGTCTTGATTCATGCGCGGCCTGCATGAGCGAAACCTTCTTGTGCTACTCCAACTTTTGCGCTAGAACCCAAAAAACCAGTTCTCCCCGATAAAAACATGCCTGCGCCGGTTCTATACCGCAGCACGCACCGTGTGAAAGTCGGCCAGAGCTTCCGATTTGTCATCGACTACTCGCCGTTCGAATCGCCCGAACACTACGCTTCCAAACCTCCGCAAAGTCTCTGGGTCCGTATCCGCAATACCGAACCCATTCCGATGCGAGCAGCTTACTTGGCTGGACCCTATGTTTTGTATGTGGACTGCCGGCCGGAAGAATACAATGTCCATGAAAAGTCGTTTGTAACCGCAGATCAGCCTGTGTTTGACCTGCAACTTCTTCCGGGAAAAGCGTTTTATGCCGAATTGCTGTGTCATACATATCGCCCAAAGTACCGCTGGACGGTCGACGTGGTGTCCCAAATTCTTTTCAACAATTCAATCGCTACAAACTTTGACGTGTGCATAGCTACAGACAAGGACATGTCACATTATTCTGTACCAGCACCTCATTTTGCCGTTTCTGTATATGACACCCTCGATTTGTGGAACTTGCCCGTTCCAGATACAACAAAACCTCTACACTTGGTGATCTTGACACATGGCCTCCATTCTAATGTTTCTGCAGACATGATGTTTTTGAAAGAGCAAATCGATAGTCTGCAAGAAAACGTCGTCGTGAAGGGCTTCTTTGGAAATGTCTGCAAAACAGAAAAGGGCATCAAGTACCTCGGGAGCCGTGTTGCTGAGTACGTGGTTGGCTTGGTTCGCAACGAAACATTTTCGTCCGTGGATAAAATCTCCTTTGTGGGACATCTGCTCGGCGGTCTCGTGCAGACATTCGCCATTGCGTATTTGCAGAGCAACTACCCTTGGTTTTTCGAGAAGATTCGGCCTGTGAATTTCGTCACTCTTGCATCGCCTATGCTTGGAGTGATACATGAAAATCCTACCTATGTCAAGCTTGCGCTTCTGGCTGGCGTGGTGGGCAGAACGGGACAAGAATTAGGTCTTCAGCTCACCGAAGTGGGGAAAAAGCCCCTTCTTCTTCTTCTCGCATCAGGCATAACGCATAAGGTCCTCAAACGATTCATGAGACGCACAGTATATGCTAATGTGGTGAACGACGGCATTGTACCATTGCGAACATCTGCTTTGCTATATTTGGACTACCATGGGCTCTCACTGCTTGTAGGACCAGGAGAAAAAGTGGCCGAAGATGCGAAAATCCCCGTCGATTTGCCTAATAATGAGGATAGCCAAACACTGCCCTTGCTGAGTATGCTTTCCTTCTTTATGCCACAAAAACAGCGTGACAGATATAGTCGTTATCAAACGAACAGCAGCAGTACTGAATCTGGGAATAGCATTGAGCGCACATTGGAGGAGATACCCAAACCATCAATGATTGAAAGTGCAACGTCGCTTATTCTCCCTCCGTTGCCATCGACCAAGTACATCACCGACCCAGATTCACGGGAGAACGTTATTTTGCACGACAAGGTTTATAGTGAGGACGACTTGCCTAATCTTAAGGAAGACGGAACTAAGCAACAGGACCAGAAGAAAAAGGGTGTGATTCAGATGATTTCAGACAAGCGAAACGAGTTCCGTCAGCTTATAGAGGGAAACGTTTCTGAACATTACGAGGAGGAGATTGCACGTGAGTATCATAAGCTGATGCTGTGGCGGAAAGTTTTGGTAAAGCTCAAACCAGACGCACATAATAATATCGTAGTGCGGCGACGCTTCGCTAACGCATACGGCTGGCCCGTAATAGAGCATCTTGTGGAAAACCACTTTGGATTGGATGAAGATACAGAGCCACAGACTGATGAAACTACAATGGATGAAGAAAGCAGCGAGACAGACGGAACCGAGCTTACTAAGATCCTTTCGCGTGATGTTCTCGAACGCGAGAATGAACAGCTAGACATGGAGCCAGATGACAGTACATGGATAGACTCCAAAGTTAATGGTGGTGGGTTTGTAGGACCTGCTGGCCTTCTTTCAGAGGTGAGCGATATGATGTATCGGTTCAAGGAACAGGTGAGTAACTACGGAACAAGTTATAGCGAAGAACCAGTTGCAGTGAAGGAATCCCCCACACGGCTAATGGGTGAATTTTTTTAACCTCATGGATACAATTGCATATAAATAGGATACACGGTATGGAAAGGCTAAACGGCTGCTATTAAGCGTGGTTGACATGTAAGTTCAAGAAATCAGGGCGTACAAGCAAACTTGAGTAGGAAATACCCAACATTCTTAAGATCATGAGCTGAAGTTTTACATGTCCACTTCGGAAATTCCCTTACTTTACAAAGCATAAGCTTCATGTATCAAGAATCTCATGTATTAATCTATAGTACAGTTTATTATTCCTCTGCTTCCTCCTCTTCTCCCTCCTCCTCTTCTTCTTCGTCAGCCTCTACAGGCATCAACTCATTGATTTTGGCCAAGATGGACTCACATGTTTCTTCATCAAAGCGCTGATCACATTCCTCCACCAATCCGTATAAATGCACCATGGAACGAGGCAATGAGTTGACGATTTGAAGTTTTTCAACCTTCATCAAGTCGAAGCCGTTCAAAAAAGTCATTAGCTCTGTAAAAGCCTTTTCGTCTGGGATCAGACCTGCCGCATTGCTACTGAAGTAGGCTGTGATATCTCTCGTGACAACTTCCAAGTCGAGCCCTGCCGCAGTGAAACGTTTCCTCTTGTTGTTGTTCTGAGCTTCTTCCTCCGGTGTAAATGTCCAGTTATAAGTTTTCTTCAAGTCGCGTAGATGCTGGAAAACCTCAAAGTCCAGCAAAAATGCATCTCTTTCCGTAAGGATCTTCATGGATAGTCGGCGATGACTTCGCGCAGATTTTGGAGTATAGTGTATACGCACTGCTCGATTTATGTATTTAGTACAGTCTTCGAGAACAGAATAACGCGAGACCAAATTGTAGAAGGGGGGGCACTGCTGGATACTCATTATCATATTTTTCTGCTATTTTTGTCAGGAAATTTATGACTGTGACCCGGGCAAAATGCCATGCCTCGAATTAGATATATTCTGCAATGCATACTTGAACATTTAAACAACATCGTAAACAGATAGCTCTACGGATTTAGAACTGATCACATACTTCCGTTTAATCCTGTCTGATCACCACAGCGTGGATTTAGTCTACTCACTCTTACATTCACCACAATAGGTCGTATCCTTATTTCTATATTACATATGCCCTAGTTCCGTCTTTGCTTCTTGTGCTTCTTTTCGACCGACTTTCCGCTGGCCCCGATGGTAATGTTCACCTTAGGTGGCACGTCAAAGCCGAAAGATTTTGCCACCTTCACCAAGTCCAACTTGTCAATCTGGTACACGGTTTTCAAATGATGCGAGGCGTATGCTTGCAAGTACGATCTGTAACCGTCCTTGGCCGATTGGTGCAACCAGAAATTGCTCTTGATCAACTTGGTCAATTGGCTTTGAACATTGGCAATCTTGTTGGCTGGGAACTCGTACTCGTTGAGAGGAACATTGGCTGCCTTCAAATAACGCAAAAAGCCCAACTCAGAGGGCGTCAAAAACATCAACGATTTGCCCTTACCTTGCGTACCACGTGCCGTTCTTCCTACACGATGAATGTAGTCTCTTGGGTCATCAGGAGGGTCGAATTGCACAATCCAGTCCACAGCTGGAATGTCCAAGCCTCTAGCAGCCACATCAGTACAGATCAAAATACCCTGCTTGGCATTGCAGAATTCAAAGAAGGTGTTAGTACGCTTCGCCTGTTTTTGCTTGCCGTGTAAATCCAACACAGGCAAGTCAATGTAGTTCAATAATTCACCAAAGTACTTGACGCAGTTACAAGACGAAAGGAAAACAATGATCTTCTTCTTAGCATTGCGTTTCAAGAAGGAAAACAAAAGCAAAAACCGCTTATCACTCTCGCACACAACATAACCTTGTTCCAAACCATCAGCGGTCGAAGCAGCACTTTCAGGCACAACGTTGATGTACAAAGGTCCTGGACGCAAGGACATACGGGCCAAATCCTCGACCTTGGTGGTTTGTGTGGCAGAGAACAACATCGACTGTCTGTCTTCGTTAGGCAAAATCTTGATGATTTGCTTCATTTCCTCCTCGAAACCAATCTCCAAAATTCTATCAGCTTCGTCAATGACAAGAGCCTTCAAGTTCTTGAACACAAAACCTTGGGTGTTCTGCAAATGGTCCAACAAACGACCAGGGGTGGCAATCAATAAATTCACACCCTTAACCAACTTATCAGCCTCCTGTCTTCTATTGGCACCTCCAATAACAATACCAAATGTTTGCGTGTGGTGTTCCATCAACTCACGTGCAACACCAAAGATTTGAAGAGCTAATTCTCTGGTTGGGGAGATGATCACCACACCTGTACCGTTTCTTGGCTTGAACTTCAACGAGTACAAAAGTTCAATGGCTGGAAGCAAAAAGGCCAACGTCTTACCAGAACCAGTTTTTGCAGCGCCCAAAACATCTCTACCAGCTAACAATGGTGGAATCGTCTTTGCCTGGACCTTGGTCATCTTCTTGAAGCCCATTTGTCTGATCGCCTTGAGCGTAGGCTCGGAAAATCCAGCCTCTTCAAAATCATAATTGTCTTCCCCCTCGTCATTTTCGTCATTCTCTTGCGCAGCAGGCTTAATGGCCTTGCTTTGGGTTACTTCTTCTTCAGCCAATTTCTCTTCCTTTTTTTGTTGCTTGGAGCTCTTTTTCTCTGGGTCTTGTACGTTGTCGCCAAGTAACTGAGCTACTTCATCAAAATCCTCATCTAACTCGTTGACCAACTTCTCCGAGTCCGAGTTGGAAACATCTTCATCCTCATGCTTTCTCTTAGCAGGTTGTTCGTTCCTCTTGCTGCTTTTCACTTTTTTGGCCATGTTAATGCAGATATGATGGTGGGGTTCTGAAATTTTTCAGAGATGAGCTAGTTATCATCGCGGCCTGCAGGCAATATGCAATACTTGACCATGGCACCTTCTATAGAACTAATGAGAAACCAAAGTCGCTGGAGAAAAACTTGACAAATGAATTTAGTCGGGTGTGCTAAATAGAAATAATCAAATGATTCCAATATTTTTCTCTTCGTTCCCAATCGTGCATTAGTAAGTCCTTGTATTATGGCCACATCAAGCCAAAGAAACAGCTGCTGATTTGAAAACGAGGTAGCTGGGTTCTGAAAGCGTAGAATGTAAGTAAAACAGGAAGACATCGTCTGCTATACAATAAACCACCTTATACTAGCAATCGCTTACAATACGTCTATAGGCGTAGACACTGGCCCCTACTGCCTGCAGGTCTCACGAGTTGGCGATACTTGAACTTGGTAACTACTGAATTGCCACCATATCCCGTTATGGCACAGTATACAGTTTCGTCGACAAAGTCGTACATGCAAGCCATGGCGCCTATGATGGAAGCTCTTGCGTCTCTTGAGATTCCTGAAACAAAAGAACCAAACGTCGATACAGAAACTAGTCCCAAAGTGGCTTTGGACCGGGTTCTATCAGCATTTGAAAGTGTTTCAATCGATATCTTGAACCAAATTTCAGTCAAAGAGACACAACAAACATCAATTGCAAGTCAAATAGCAAAGGAATGCAAGCGAATTAGCTTGGCCAGAAATGAAAACGAAAATGACACATTGAATATAGTTCGGACCATCGTGGCTGAGAAAACCAGCGATGAGGAGTTACAGTCCGCTTTGTTTGACATTTTAGGCTTTGAGGAGTTTGAACTCATATCGAAGATTGTCCAAAACAGAGAAGCTGCATTGGAAGAACCAGAAACGGATACAGGTATTCTCAGTGCTGAAGATCGGGTAAAACAGCTCATAGCAGCTCGAGAGAGAGGAAGGAACGAACCATTAGCTCCTCGAATTTCTTCTGGCGGTGAATACCCTCATGTATTCAAAAAGAAAGATGTAGGAAATGTCATTGCCATCACAGGAAAACTGTATGCGTTGCCTGCTGGTACCACGCGAGATAGCTATCCTACGCATGAGGAATTGATTATTCCATATCCTCCAAATGTTGCTAACAGGTACATTTCGGATTCACAATTGGTGCAAGTCGAACATTTAGACTTCTTGTGCCAGGGCACATTCAACAATTACAAGGCGCTCAATAAGATGCAGAGCTTGGTATATCCAGTGGCTTACAATACCAATGAAAACATGCTTGTGTGTGCCCCAACAGGTGCAGGTAAAACAGATGTGGCGTTATTGACAATTCTACATACTATCGGACAGTTTGTAACTGAGGCTGAAGAAGGAGTTATAGACGTTGACTATGATGAGTTTAAAGTCATTTATGTTGCTCCTCTCAAAGCGTTGGCTGCAGAAATTGTGGAGAAATTTTCGAAGAAACTTAAATGGTTAGGTATAAACGTTAGAGAGTTGACTGGAGATATGCAGCTTACTAAAGCAGAAATCATGACCACACAAATCATCGTTACCACCCCTGAAAAATGGGATGTGGTGACAAGAAAGCTGAATGGTGATAACGATCTTGTTGCAAAAGTCAAGTTGCTCATTATTGATGAGGTACATTTATTGCATGAAGATAGAGGTTCAGTCATTGAGACTTTAGTAGCCAGAACATTGCGCCAGGTTGAAAGTACGCAAATGATGATTAGAGTGGTTGGACTTTCAGCTACACTTCCGAATTACATGGATGTGGCGGATTTTTTGGGTGTCAACAGAAACATCGGGATGTTTTACTTTGACCAGCTGTTTCGTCCTTGTCCGCTTAAACAGGAATTACTTGGAGTTAGGGGAAAGGCTGGGTCAAAAACAGCGAGAGAGAATATTGACCGCGTCACATACGACAAACTTATTGAAAATCTTAGACATGGCCACCAAGTTATGGTATTTGTTCATTCCAGAAAAGATACGGTAAAAACCGCACGTACGTTCATTTCCATGGCACAGGCCAATGGTGACTTAGATGAATTTGACTGCTCTACAACTTGTGATAACTACGACCTGTTTCGCAGAGACATGGGTTCAAAGAACAGAAACAAGGACATGAGAGAATTGTTTCAATACGGATTTGGTGTGCACCATGCTGGTTTGCTCCGAACGGATAGAAATGCCACAGAGAAAATGTTCTTGAATGGTGCCATCAAAGTTTTATGCTGTACAGCCACTTTAGCATGGGGTGTTAATCTTCCAGCTGCGGTAGTTATAGTGAAAGGAACTCAAGTGTATGATGCGAAACAAGGTGGTTTTGTGGATTTGGGTATTTCAGACGTGATTCAGATTTTTGGTCGTGCTGGTCGTCCTCAATTCGAGAGCTTCGGTACTGGTATTTTGTGCACAACGAGTGACCGACTTGACCACTATGTTTCTCTCATATGTCAACAGCATCCTATAGAATCGAAGTTTCTGGCAAAACTCATTGACAATTTAAATGCAGAGATCTCGTTGGGAACTGTGACTACAGTTGACGAAGGCGTTCAGTGGTTAGGATACACGTACATGTTTGTGAGAATGGCAAAAAACCCATTCTCCTATGGTATCGATTGGAAAGAATTACAAGAAGACCCCCTGTTGTTGATGAGAAGAAGAAACATGATCATAGATGCCGCAAGAAGACTCCATCTGCTTCAAATGATTGTGTATGATGAGAATTCTGGTGCGTTGAATCCAAAGGATTTAGGTAGAATCGCATCAGACTTCTATTTGCTCAATAACTCTGTGGAAATTTTCAATCAAATGCTCAACCCAGTTGCTACAGAGGCCGATGTGTTGGGTATGATCAGTATGAGTAGTGAGTTTGACAGCATCAAGTTCAGGGAAGAGGAGAAAACCGAGCTTAAACAGTTTGCTGAAAATGAAAGCGTTTGTCAAATCGCTGGCGAAGCAGAGTCAAATCAATGGAAAACAAATATTCTTCTTCAGGCGTTTGTTTCGCAGAGACGCTTCAAGGACTCTGCATTGATTTCAGACGGCAATTATGTTGCTCAGAATTCTGCTAGAATTTGCCGGGCTTTGTTTTTGATTGGAATTCACCGGAGATGGGGAACATTCCTGAAAACTATGCTTTCTATCTGTAAGCTGATTGATCGCAGGATGTGGGCTTACGACCACCCGTTAGCTCAATTTGATCTCCAGGAACATATTATCAGAAATCTTCGAAACAAAAATCCCTCTATGGAGCACTTGCGTGATCTATCTGCCGCAGAACTTGGGGATTTGGTTCATAATGCAGGCGCAGGCAAGATGCTATATAAATTGATTAGCAGATTCCCTTACTTGATTATCGACGCTGAAATCTTTCCTATTACAAGTAATGTCATTCGAATGCATGCGGTGATTGAGCCAGATTTTACTTGGGACGAAAGATACCATGGAAATGCTCAGTACTTTTGGATTACAGTGGAAGACTCTGATGACACCAAAATTTTACACGTGGAGAAGTTCATATTGCGTCGAAACCAAATGAACACACCACATGAGATTGATTTCATGATCCCGGTTTCAGACCCACCTCCTGCTCAAATCGTAATACGTGCCATGTCAGATTCATGGATTGGAGCAGAGAACTTCCATGCTGTCTCGTTCCAACATCTTATCAAGCCAAATAATGAAACTGTGAGGACAAACCTTCTCCGATTGCAACCACTTCCCCTTTCTGCTTTGCATAACCCACAATTGGAGGAAATATATGCACCAAAATTCCGCTATTTTAATCCAATGCAGACGATGACATTTCACTCACTCTACAATACCAACTCCAACGTTTTCGTCGGATCACCAACAGGATCGGGAAAAACTGTTGTTGCTGAACTTGCCATATGGCATGCATTCAAAGAATTTCCTGGATCGAAGGTAGTTTATATTGCTCCCATGAAAGCATTGGTCCGTGAAAGAGTCGATGATTGGAGAACACGTCTTTGTAAACCAACAGGAAGAAAGTTAGTTGAGTTGACGGGTGATTCGTTACCTGAGGCTCGCGATGTGAGAGAGTCTGATATCATTATCACAACGCCTGAAAAATTTGATGGTATATCGCGTAATTGGCAAACGAGAAAATTCGTCCAGGAGATTTCTTTGGTTATTATGGACGAAATCCATTTGTTAGCCAGTGATAGAGGTCCGATTTTGGAAATGATTGTCAGTCGTATGAACTTCATCTCTGCTCAAACGAAAAAGCCAATACGGTTGCTAGGAATGTCCACCGCTGTCTCTAATGCGATTGATATGGCCGGTTGGCTTCGCGTAAAAGAGGGACTTTTCAACTTTCCTCAGTCTGTTCGTCCTGTTCCTTTGCAGATGTACATTGATGGTTTTCCAGATAATTTAGCCTTTTGTCCTTTGATGAAGACAATGAACAAACCCGCATTTATGGCAATCAAACAACACTCTCCTACGAAGCCGGTTTTGATTTTCGTCGCTTCCCGTCGTCAAACTCGTCTTACTGCGCTTGATTTGATCCACTTATGTGGTATGGAACTGAACCCACGGAGATTCATGAAGATGGAAGAATCAGAGCTCGAATCAATATTGGAGAAGGTTAAAGATGACACATTGAAATTGTCATTGCAATTCGGAATGGGTTTGCATCATGCTGGTTTAGTCGAATCAGATCGTCAAATTGCCCATAAGTTGTTTGAAGCTGGCAAAATTCAAATATTGATTGCCACGTCTACTTTGGCTTGGGGTGTGAACTTACCGGCACACTTGGTAATTATCAAGGGAACCCAGTTCTTCGATGCTAAGATCGAAGATTATCGTGACATGGATTTGACAGACATTCTTCAAATGATGGGAAGAGCTGGTCGTCCTGCCTTTGACACAAGTGGTATTGCTCTCGTATTTACGAAAGAGTCGAAGAAAGTTTTTTACAAACACTTTTTAAACATCGGCTTTCCTGTGGAGTCGTCTTTACACAAAGTTTTGGATAATCATATCGGTGCCGAGATCGCTAGTGGAACTATTGCTAGTAGACAACAGGCATTGGATTTCTTGACGTGGACATTTTTGTACAGAAGAGCCCATAACAATCCTACTTACTATGGCATTGAAGACTTGTCTCCGGTGGGTATCTCGAAGTACCTTGGGGGATTAATCGATCAAGCGATAGAGAATTTGCAAGAATCATCATGCGTTAAAGTTACTGCAAAGGACGAGCTTGTACCATCTCCCTTCTTGCAAGTTTCTTCTTTTTACTATCTTTCGCACATGACTATTCGTACTGTTCTTGCAAACATAACAAAAGAATCTAGTTTCAGAGAGTGTTTGAAACTCTTGTGTTTAGCTACTGAGTACGATGAGTTGGCGACGAGACACGGTGAAGAATTGATCAATATGGAGTTGTCTCAAGCCATGAGATTCCCTGCCGAAGATCTAGACTGTGAATTCATCTGGGACCCTCACGTGAAGGCATACTTATTGATTCAAGCGTTCATGAGCAGAGTTGAACTTCCTATTGCCGATTACGCTCAAGACACGGTTTCTGTATTGGATCAGGCATTACGTATTTTGCAAGCATACATCGACGTGGCAGCAGAACTAGGATACATGCAAGTTGTTCTGACACTTATTGAGTTAATGCAGTGCATCAAACAGAGAATATGGTATGACGCTGATCCAGTCAGCGCTTTACCAGGAGTGTATGAAGCCGATAAGAAGTCAAAGGCGACAATTAAAGAATTGGGATCTTACAACACTGGTCGTTTGTATAAGACTGCTGAAAATTTAGGAGTTGTGGACGATAGTACGAAAAAAGAGTTTGTGAGGATTGCCTCACACTTGCCAGTGGGTGAATTCAAAGTTTCTCAAAGCGATGCAGACTTTCTTCAGATTGAATTATCTCATTCCAACTTTCCATTGAATAAGGAATTCAAAATGTATGCGCCACACTTTCCAAAGCAGCAAAGGGAATCATGGTTTGTTATCGTTTGTGATAACAACAACGAAGAGTTGCTTCTTCTAAAGAGAGCCTCTCCAAAATTACATGGAAAGAAGGGCAAGGTTGCATGTTCTCTTGAGATATTTGACGAATTGAAAGGCAGAGACGTCGTTGTAAAACTCATTAACGATGCCATGAGAATAAGCTACGAAGAGTCCATCAAGCTTATGTAACTGATGCCAATACAAAAAATAAAAATAATCATTTTCATTAGATGGATTACTATTGTACAATGCTAAGTCTCTATTCGAAGAAATCGTCCTCTTCTTCTTCTTGTTCTTGTTGTTGTGGAGCATCAATCTCTTCTTCTTGGCCAGGCAACCTCGTGTTGTCGACTTGGATGGTCTTTCCAGCCAAAATATCGTCGAAGGTGAATGGCAACTTGTCGTTGTCAATAATCTCTTCTACTTTCTTTTTGAAACTCTGTCTTTTCTCATCTGTCTTATGCAAGCCTTTCCGGATATTCTCATCGGCCAAGTCTTCTTCCAGAGGTGGGATGGGATATAGAGAGATGTATTTTTCGGACTTAGGGAACAAATAGACGTAAGCGACATCGATTTGAGCATGCTTAAGCACCTTTCTTGCCTTCTTGATGTCTTTCTTGACACCTTCTTTGGTGGCCTCATCCAATGCTTTAGTGGCTTGTTTTAACTTCCGAACAGCCTTTTTCCTCTCAAAGAAACGTACCATATGGTACTTCTTAGCTCTTTCTTTGGTCTTCAAATTGAACTGAGAATTCTTCAAGTCAACAAGTAAAGCCTTTAAGGCTCTTTCCTTTTCGATTCTCACATCAGCTGGTAGAGTGTCCTTTCTGAGATAATTTCTGATAGACTTTATCTTTTTTTTCACCTTGACAGTGGAACCAAAAACATTACTAAGGTCTGTGTTGTATCTATCATATTGACCCTTGGGCATGTTGGTTTTGGATAGCTTTTGTACAAATTGGCGACAGAACTTTTAGAAGGCCCTTGAGATGAGCGCGCCTGCATGGTGCCGATATCTTTAATGGAGATAACTACTTGAACGTTGAATAAACCACATTCATTTGCCTGATTCCCAAGCTGTAGAGGAAAGAAAGAAAGAAAGTAAATATATGAATAGTTGCAAGGTGTTGCTAGGGCTTCAGTGATTAGCAACGTTTTGCAAAACTTATGTATAACTTCTGACGACTCGGATGCTAAATCAGAAAAGACGACCCCACCTAGTTAAACAGAAACTTAGCATACGCCTGATACAGCCACTAATAATCTCAGAAATTTGTAGTTACTAATCTTAATTGGGCTCTTCATAAATCACTGGATCTTTCGAAAAATTCTGAGAGGTACGGGTGTAGGAATGGATTTTCCTCCATTCATTATTGCACCAACTGAATCTACAGAAAACAGACGGCATGGGAATTCTAGAAAAAATCGCCCAGATCCAAGAGGAACTCGCGAGAACCCAAAAGAACAAGGCCACAGAGTACCATATTGGTCTTTTGAAGGGTAAACTCGCTCGTTACAGAAGAGAACTTTTGGAACCCCAACCAGGTCAAGGATCTTCGGGAGGAGGTCAAGGATTTGAGATTGCGAAAGCAGGAGATGCCCGTGTCTCACTTATTGGTTTTCCATCGGTGGGTAAATCCTCTTTTCTCTCTAAAGTGACCAATACAAAGTCAGAGGCAGCAAACTATGAGTTTACCACATTGACGTCCGTGGGAGGTATCTTGGAGTACAATGGCGCTGAGGTCCAAATTGTGGATTTGCCTGGTATTATCAAGGCAGCTTCTCAAGGTAAGGGAAGAGGACGTCAGGTTATTGCCGTATCCAGAACTTCAGACTTGATCATGATGGTTTTGGATGCAACAAAAGGCAAAGAGCAGAGACAAATCTTGGAAAACGAGTTAGAAACCATGGGCATTCGTCTCAACAAGGAGAGACCCAACATTTCATTGAAGATCAAAAAGACTGGCGGAGTGAAGTTGAATCTGATCACGCCGCCCAAGTATTTGGATGAGAAAATCGTGTCGGCTCTTTTGAAAGACTACAAGATCCACAATGCAGATGTGTTGGTGAGAGATGAAAACTGCACTATCGACGACTTTATTGATATTATTAACGACCAGCATATGTCTTACATCAAATGTCTTTACGTCTACAACAAAGCAGACGCGGTTTCTTTGGAAGAAGTGGACAGACTCGCACGAGAGCCCAACACAATGGTCATCTCCTGTGAGGAGGACTTGGGAATTGAGGACTTGAAAGAGGAGATCTGGCGCCAGCTTGGCTTGATCAGATTGTATACCAAAAGAAGAGGAATCATGCCCAATTTTGAAGATCCAATGGTGGTGAGAGCGAATTCAACCATCACACAAGTCTGTGACGCGGTTCACAGAGACATGAAAAACCAGTTCAAGTATGCTTTGGTGTGGGGCTCCAGCGCAAAGCATTCACCACAAAAGTGTGGCTTGACGCATCCAGTACATGACGAAGATGTCGTGCAAATTGTCACCAAGTAGACAGTTTATAAGAGATTAATGGGAGAGGAAACTTTTAAGATTGTAAAAAGTAGAAGAAAGAAACGATAATACAAAAAAAATCGCAAGGTAATCAGAAGATGGAAGCCCAATACGCTGGTGAGTAATCGTGATTTTCGAATTTCCCATTCGAAATACATCTTCTGTATTCTATCTAATGAGAGCAATCTCGAAATTGAAAAACTCTTCAATAACGATTGGTTTCCTCGATTATTCGCAGTCCGGATAAATGAAGTTAGATAAACATGGTGATGCATAATGTCGCGTAAAAACTCCACCATTATCATACTAAAAGAGACTTTGCGTTCCATCACTTCCAAATACGTAATGTCCGACATAGAAACTGGGCCAGAGATATTCGAAACATCTGATGTTGAATCTATGGAAGAATTGGTGCCTCCGCCACCAAAAAGTGAAGAAATAGCAGATGACACATTAGATCCCCAGTCAGCGAGAGAAAAGTTTGAGGAAAACGTCATAGTGGATACGTTCGAAATTGCGGACTTTCTGGGAAGTTTACAGAGCTCACAGAATGGATATTCTGTTCGAAAACTAGGGGAGACTCCTAGCCAGCGCCTTCTACGAATTGCTAGCGAATTGGAGGAAATAAAGCAGGAATCAGACAGCAGAGAAATTGACAGATTGAAAAATGATTTAGACAAGCTAATAGAATATGGGAAACATGCTGGATTCCACCAGGAGCTATTTGAAGAGGCGTTTCAATCGCTCAAATCCGAAGACTCATTCTCTAACAAATTGGAGAGTACAGATATAGATGACAACTATAAAACAGCCACCCAAAGTGCTGCCACATTTCTTGAACTTGAGAATCGGCTCAACAGCCTTGAGCAGAAGATTGGTCCGTCCGATTTGCGACTCGAGAAGAGTTTGCGTAACCATGTTAACGATTTGGCTAGAAAAATTGATGTGATCTACGATCCAGAACACGACATGAGCCAAATGAAAAGTGAGCTCAAGAAACTCAACAAAGAAATAGAAACATTGGCCACCAATAGGCGCTTGGCCCTGTTATCATTGGATGGAAAAGTGGATACCTTTGCGACACAGCCATTCGATGTGAAAATCGATAGCATCTACAACAACCTCCCCGAAATGCAGAAGATGGCGCAGGTTTTGCCATTACTCATTACTCGTCTTCGGAGTTTGCACAACGTACATGCTGAGGTGGCTCATTCTGTTGGATTTATTAGCCAAATAGATAAGACAATGAGCGACATGAAGATGGACATGCAAAAATGGAACGAGAGTTTGGATTCAGTGACTGCGGGAATAAAAGAACACCAAGAGACTTTTGAAAATAATAGGAAGGTTGCTGAAAGTAGATTGGCCGATCTCGAGAAAAGAGTAGCCAAATTGGGGGAATGATATAGAATACTTGAATGACGACTTTATGATCTACGTAAGTGGCGGCAAGAAAGAGAAAAACGTGCAAGCAAAAGAAGGAAAGTTTGAATGGTAGATAAAAATCTCACCAAACATTCTAGTGCCGGGTACGGAGGATGTCTCAGTTACAGCCTTTAGCTCGAATCATTGATTAGTCTGTACTTCATATGTTGTATTCTTACGAGACTTTTACGGAAACTCTCATATCGCTTAAAGAATTCCGTAAGAGAAATAGAGTACTACTCATGGATACTTTTGTGGAGCAAAAAAGTTCACGATGACTCACTAATATGCGATTCTGCTTCTTCTGATGCCCTTTCCTCACTTCCTAAAAATTTCCGACGCTATCGGTGTCGCTAACAATCACCCAAATAGAAAAAATATGCATGAACATGGAAAAAATATCTTGCACATAAGTGGATGCTCGCCATGACATACCCCGATCGCTCAGGCCTTCCATTATAGGTGGCACCACATATATAATGCGGAGAGATCCCACCTATAGCAAAATTCACACCAGCCGTTTCTTTTCATGTTGAGATCGATTCGCCCTACCCGTGCTTTATATGGTGCTGCCAGAGCTTTCAGAATCAGCCCTGTTCAGGTCCGTTTCGCTTCACAATTAGCTCACGCCAAAGTTCCCCCAGTGAAAAATGAGCCGGTTAAAGAATTCGGCTTTGCTCACCAAAAAGACTGGGATCTTTTACGAGCTTCAATCACCAAATTCACCGATGGCATTCTTGACATCCCATTGGTGATTGGTGGCGAGAAAATCTACGACAGACCTACATTCACACAAGTCAACCCAGCCAAGCATTCTCAGGTTGTTGCTACAGTCAGAACTGCCAGCCAGCAAGATGTGAAGGATGCAATTGCAGCATCAAAGAAAGCAAAGGCTGAATGGGCCAGATTGCCATGGACCGATCGTGCCGCCGTCTTCTTGAAGGCCGCAGATCTTCTTGCTACCAAGTACAGATACGACATGCTAGCAGCCACCATGCTTGGCCAAGGAAAGAACGTCTACCAAGCAGAAATCGACTGCATCACAGAATTGGCAGACTTTTTCCGTTTCAATGTTAAGTACGCCGAAGAATTGTACCATAGTCAGCCTTCGGAATCCAGTCCGGGCGTCTGGAACAGAGCAGAGTACAGACCATTAGAAGGATTTGTTTACGCCGTGACTCCATTCAACTTCACTGCCATTGCCGGAAACTTGATTGGTGCTCCAGCTTTGATGGGAAATACCGTGGTGTGGAAGCCTTCTGACACCGCTGTGCTCTCTAACTACTTTTTGCTCACGGTCTTGGAGGAGGCTGGGTTGCCCGCAGGCGTAGTCAACTTTGTCCCAGGAAAGCCTGTTGAGGTGACCGATGTCGTCATTAATGATCCAGATTTTGCTTCTTTGCACTTCACTGGCTCCACCGATGTGTTCAAGAAGTTGTATGGACAAATTGCCTCCAACTTGGCTAAAGACGTTTACAAGGACTATCCTCGCGTGGTGGGAGAAACCGGCGGAAAGAATTTCCACTTGGTGCACCCATCTGCTTCCGTGGACCATGCAGCTTTGTCTACCTTGAGGGGTGCCTTTGAGTTCCAAGGCCAAAAATGCCTGGCTACTTCGAGAGTGTATGTCGCTGAATCTGTTTGGCCCGAGTTTCAAGAGAAGCTCACTAGTGCTATGGATTCTATCACTATCGGAAACACGACTGACACAGGTGCCCTTCACCACTTTATGGGTCCTGTTATCCACGAGCAATCTTTTAACAAGTTGGCTTCTGTGCTAGCAAAGGCTGAGTCAGACCCAGAATTGACTATTCTCAAAGGTGGAAAGGCCGACAAGACCACTGGTTTCTACATCCAACCCACATTAATCCAAACGACAAACCCTGATCACGAATACCTTTCGAAAGAATTTTTCGGCCCTGTCTTGACTGCTTATGTTTACCCTGACGCTGAGTACGAAAGCATTATGGATAAAATAGATTCCAGCACCAAATACGGTTTGACTGGTTCTATTTTCGCCAAAGATCGCCAAGCAGTCAGATTGGCTGAGGAGAAATTGAGATATGCGGCAGGTAACTTTTACATCAACGATAAATCAACCGGTGCAGTTGTGGCACAACAGTGGTTTGGCGGAGCAAGAATGTCAGGCACTAATGACAAGGCAGGCTCAGGAAACATCTTGAACAGATTTGTTTCTGTGAGAAATATTAAGGAGAACTTCTACGAATTAACTGACTACAAATATCCTTCTAACTACGATTGAGTAGTGTGGTTGCTTTTTCATATTATTATAATACATATTCGAAGTTTGCAAGGTTGTTGAGCTTATGAGACGTATAAAACATTTATCGAGGGGAGTATATTGTTTAAGTTCGGGTGATATATGAAAGCTTTGATATCATTTCTGTCGCATTTGAGGGCAGAAGGGAAAATAATATCAAATCCTCAAGCATATAGTTCTCATGAACTTTTCCCTGCTACTTCAAAATTTTAAATAAATGTTTCTTCCAAAGGCTATAGAATGTAACTCTGATGAGTTTACTGCGTTTATTAATGTAAATCAGTCAGTGCCAAACGCTACGTATAACCAACCAAATCACCCAAGCCCCATACTACCCACGATTTTCATCTATCGTACTTATCCGTGAATTTAACATTATTAGACTGCTGTTCATAAAGACGTTACACATAGTAGCCCGTCGAAGGCTGTCCATTAAGAATTCTGCCCAAGCCACCACACACAGGACACAACTCTTGGTCCAAAAGAAACGTAACAAGTCCGGAACCACGACATCTCCCGCATAGATAACCTCCCAATCTTGGATCACCAGGAGCAACCTGGACCCTGTTAGGCCCAGGCCCATACTGAGGTCCGTACTGAGGGCCATACGCCGGTGATGCAAGTACTGGACCCGAGGAGAAAGGCAGAGCAGGAACCGCGTAGGTCATACTGACATTGTTCCGTGGAGCTAGATATGTGTAACAATCTTGGCAAGGTTTTCCATTCTTCAACTTGGAGCCTGTGTTGAGGCATTTCTCACACAAGTATCGTCTAGGGTAGCGGAAGGGAAGCTGTGGATTCGGGTTATACGGTTCTGGGCCAAGAAACTTCTTCCAACAGTCCATACATGGCTTGCCCGTTTTCTCTTTGAAGCCAGTGTTCTTGCATTTTTTGCAAAGATAGCCTCTTGGGTACTTGAATGGAAGCGACTGGTTGTTGGAATAAAGCGAGCTCGTGTTAGGGCCATTGGGTGGACGTGTGAATCCTTGGCTCAGGCTCAGGCTGGGACCCTGTTGAGGAGGAGCACCAGAAAAGTTCCCCGAAGGTCTACTGGGTGGACGAGGAGCACCAGAAGACTTTTCCGGGGGCCTAGAGCCGGAGGGAGGACCAGAATATGCATTTTGGGGCCGCTGTGGTGTAGCAGGCGGTCTCTGTGGAGGAACTGGAGGACTCTGTAGTGCCTCGTTGTAACTTGGAGGAGCCTCGGAAGGAACGTCGTCCCACTGAGACATGAGGATATGTTGGGTTTATTATTTAGAGTCTAGAAGCCCGGGAATCAAAGGAAAATGAAAAGAAGTAAATTTAAAAGAAACTTGAAGCAATTGAGCCAAGGTGTTTCTAGAAGGTGACTTGATGGTGTGAATAGATCACGGGGCGCAGGGTGCGGTATACAGGAGATTGGCGGGGCCAAGGCGAAAAAATATGACCACTGAAGATGGAAACGAGGTGTACCACATTATGGACGAACGGAATGAAATTGAGGTGAAGTGGATCCGGTTCCTAGCATGTAGCAAATGTATCAGGCAATGGTGGTATCTTCTTCGCTTCTTAATTTTCGTTCAGATTTTCATCTCTCAACTTATCACAGGGTAGTCAATGTTATCTAGCATAATACGCTGATTTCCACGATTTCATTTTTCCCAAGCAGTATTTTGCAATATTTTGGGATTTACCAATAGAGCAGAAAGTAGTAGAATCTAGTGGAATCTAGTGAATATTAGCATGTAGCATAGTTCGAAATGAAGCGTACATCATTTTCATAGTTCATGTCTATTGAGCCTTTCTACGCTTTCTGCTCATTCTTTGGATCAGAAAGCAACTTCGGATACAAAAGTCAGTAGTATGGTATCGGTTGTGATGGCCCTATACTGAATGCTTTGGTCTTTCTTGAGATTTCGGAGGTTTTTCTTCCTTCCTTGTCCATTACAAAGACGAATTCTGAACATCTCATCAAAAGAGGCTGATCTGTTTTTCCTGTTATCGCACTGTCCTCACACGATCTCTCACTTTCTGATTACTTCCAATTCGCAACTTGTACCCATTGTCTATGCCAGCTTCAAAATTTTCTGGTCGATAATAGAGCTCTGCTACTAAGAATCTGCTAAATATACCATCACTCCGATTCAGAGAGTCCTTCAATGCGTCAACGTGTCTTAACTGCACACAGCCCAGACACCTGTGTGCAGTCACATACATAGTACCACCAGTGCCTCCCATGATCCCATTAACTTGTATACTTTCTGTTCAAAACTAGGCATGCTTTTCGACTCGACATTATGGCTCACAGAGAGACAGAGTATGTGATGGAGAATTTCAATTGTGTTTAGAGTTTCTCTACTAACTTTCCAGAGTACGGAGTGGGGACCACAGCCGCCGGAGTCTTGTTTTTCATTCTAGGAATCTTCACCTTCTTTGATTCCAGCTTGCTTGCTATTGGAAACATTTTGTTTGTGATTGGCGTGGTGCTTATCATCGGCCCATCTAGAGCCATTTACTTTTTTGCCCGCCCAGGTAAGATCAGAGCCACGCTCTTTTTTTTCGGCGGTATATTGCTAATTCTTATGAAACGCTCATTCATTGGATTTATGGTGGAAAGTGTGGGTATTTTGTTTCTTTTCGGTGATTTCTTTGGCACAATTGTGCTGTTTTTGCGCTCCTTCCCTATAATTGGCCCCATTTTGCGCAATCCGTCTGTCGAGCCTTATGTCAACAGAGCTGCAGGCTTGGACACTTTACCGGTGTAGGTGTAATTAGAAGCAATGCAACGAGGAATAGATAGAACAAATTAAAATGCAAGCAGTGTAAAGAAGAAGCTTGGTTTTGAGTTATTATAAAAGAAGTAAACTTCTTCCGATTCACCTTTTCAGTAGCTGGAGTAATACAATAAACGCTCCAAAAGACTTGCTTTCATTGGCTTGAAGAACCTTTTGAAATGACAAAAGAATCATCTAGTTGACTCTGATAAAGATTCAAAGACGATGCGGCGTGACATTGAGCTTGTATTTGCCCAATATCCCATCGACCGAGTCCAAAACATGACCACAAGCTGCAAAAGCATACATTAGGTCGTAACGGCCGGAGAAATCGTCTTCGGACACTGTACCATTCGATATCACAGAGAGACGGACAGATGAGTTTCCAAGTGAGTGTACATGCGTGGAGAAAGAAACTTTTGAGGAAATATTTGCAACTGAGCGGCACTGAGGAATCCAAAGCACATGCGGCGGTAGATGCGACGGTTCATGGAGAGGAAAGTAACGAGTAGAGCAGATATTGGAAGAAGCCACAAGATCTGCATCAAATGGATTCAGATTGGAAAACAGAGACTCAAAATGGACCCAAACAACCTGATCTGCAGATGTCCGCAAGTATTGCACCAATTGAGCAGTCCTATCTTTGTTTGCAACCGACACAAACAGGACGCTGGGCAGTTGGCTCAAAAAGTGTCGGAGAAGAGACTCCACCATAGAAGGATGGTACAAAAATGCGAGGTGATGGCTGGGCGAGCCTAGACTGACCTCAAGGCAACGTTGGGAAGGAATTTCAGGGGAGACGGGGCGGCCGTTTACGATCCTGATGTTGGCAGCATAAACAAGTACAGACACCAAGAGAGAAGATATCAAGGACGAAAGAAAGTCCCAATGGCGAACGTGCCGGAAAGATAATGCACTAGTACCACACCAAGGACGTACTTCTGCAAGGCCAGAGGCGTTCTTAGTGAAGATTTCCGCTACGACAATCCGAACATTTCGCTGACGGTAATAAAGCTTAAGAGACACAGCCACAAGAAGGGCCACTAAAGGGCTCCTATGGGAAACAACAAAGGTTGGCATGGGTCATGCCTGAAGGAGAAAGACGGCTCTAAAATGTGCTATCAGGGTGGAGTCAGATAAGAGTGAGAACAAAGTGCAGTTTGGTGAGCGCGAAATATACTATGGGGACAATGGCAGGAAGATAAATACGGGAATACAAATAAAAGGAAAGTATAGTGAATGGGAGAAGGTGGTTGAAAGGGTTCCAGTAAGCTTTCAGTATTAAGAAAAGTTTTATGATTGCAAAGTGGCACTGACTTACTGTTCCTTATGTGGTTGATTGACGTGTACGTTCATCCAGAAAATGAAATCTGCAAAAACAATTATTCCGATTGATCAAGATTCTTGAGGTATTTCAGATGATTAAAAGGACCTTTTCCAATATATTCAGAATATTCAAGCCGTTAGGAAATGCATAAAATATACAATCGAGAATATGGAAATTGGAACGTCAATCGTTTTACTATTGCAAGGAAGCCAACCAAATATCATGGCCCAGGAGAGAATGAACTTGCACAAGTTTGATTTGCGTCATCTTTAACTCTTATCCGCATAAGTTTCGTAGAAACTGAATCAGTGTTAATAATTCGTATTAGGTGTGTTGTGATAAAGGCTTACTGGAACAAAAGCCCAACGCGTTGCAGGAAAAAAACGAATTAGGAAGCTGTCCCGTCAAAAACGACGAAACAAAGTAGTACAGCTGCCCCTCTTACCCTTTGCGTCTATTGGAAAATATCATCGCTACTTCTGTACTGTTTAACTACAACAGGAGCTACAATGCCTCCTGCACCGATATGGAACAGAAAATGCAAAGAAGATTACCTCGCCAAAGTTGCTCTTCATTGCATAATTTGTATACGAAAAAATCGTGTTTTCCGTCCGCAAATCCTAGGTGGTACCACTAAAGAAGCATGCATGCATTGTGCATATGCCGCATCTTGTGTCAATTCGCTTGCTTGCAGAGAACGTAAATGCATATTTTCTTCCAGGGAAACTAGAACCTAAATACCATGTACCTGGACGCCTCACCCCAATACGCTAAAAATTATTTTTTGTCGATGTTTCATCCTCAATTCGATCTCCACAAATTATTCGAATTATCTGGAATTCCTATTTCAGTGCTCACAACCAAGATTTTTGTCGCGCAGTATACTTTTGCCTAAAATGCTTTAATTCTTTGTCTTTGTTACTTACTTTATTTGCTTCTACGATACCATGATTTAGAAGCACAGGAAATATTTCCGCTAACTCCATTTTCCGGATGTCTTATGTGTGTTTAACGCCTGCATACCTTTGTGCATATACGCTTGGGGCCTTGCAGTGTCCTTTAGCCGTGGCTAGAATAAGTCTCAAACTGTGCTCTTCCATCTGATTTGGTTCCTCCAAGTATGAAAAATACATTTCAAGCAAACTGTCACGCAACTTAGCGGGCGAAGTTATCTTCTTCTCTGCTTAGATATATTCTTCGGCAAACTTTAGAGCTGCATGAGGAATGGCGCGGAATTAAGTTTTGAAGGTTATCAGGAGTAAAAAAATACGCCAGAAAATAATGTGCTTCCCAGAGGATTAGCCGGACTTCATCATAAACAAATAGTCGTCTATGAAAATTTCTAGCCTGTTTCCTAAAACGGATATTCCTCCTAAACTTTTGATGATCAAGCTATAATTAGACTTACACATTATGGTTGAGCTGCAAAATTCTTAATCAAGAAATCATCCGTGATAGTTTAGTGGCTAGAATTACCGCTTGTCGCGCGGTAGACCGGGGTTCAATTCCCCGTCGCGGAGCTCTTTAGCGCAAGTGGTTTAGTGGTAAAATCCAACGTTGCCATCGTTGGGCCCCCGGTTCGATTCCGGGCTTGCGCACTTTTTTTTTCGTGAACTCATTTCTCATTCATCGCATCTTTGTCATCTCATTTAAACTTTCCTTCTCATCGCTAGCATTGCGGCTCCATGTCGAAAGTCAACAGAAGAAAGGAAATCAAAGAGAAAGAAGCGTTCCAGCTCAAATTCCAGCTCGCCTTGTCTCGAAACAATAAAGCTGTTTTGAACTGGCTACCGAAGAACGAAGGAACATCGGCTGCAGAAATCTCCGCTTCTGATCGCCAGGAATTCCTCAATTTGCCTATAGTGCCTGCCGGGAGCAGCCTATCTCATCTTGAAAAATCAGAGGAATATACAGTGGGAAGCTTTTTACAAACAGAAGGTCCTCCAGCTAAAAGAACGCAACATGAAAATCGGACCGGATCAAAAGCCATGACAGCATTGATGAACAAAATGCGTGGGGAATCTCGAAGAAAAGAACCAGTAAAGAAACCTCAGCGGCGCATGATTGATGAGGTTAAGAAGAAGAAGAAAGTTATTGAGCTGGCCGAACCTGACTCCGACGAAGAAGAGTCGAAATCGGCACAGATAACTAGAAAGCAGACCAAAGTTCTCAAGGGAAGACCGTTTTGATGAAATACGGACGTCATTTGCCATATGCTAAGAACAAAGCTATGGAGATATGTGTTCTTACGAGCAATTGCATCCAGGTACTTTACTGTCCAAATAGACTTCGCATGTATGGGGATCGAATTTAAGAGACCTACATTGTCGTTTGACCCGTTCGCTTGTTAGCTTTTTCATCACAAACTGATCTTCATGTTAACCTACCACATACTATCCGTGATTCAGACTTGTCTCCAGGCTAGGGAGACATCATATCCAAACGTCACTTGGCACCAGCGCCGTAACTTCACATTGCATTACAGTCTTCATAAGTCATACAGTCTTCATAAGTCATACAGTCTTCAGTATCATTTGACATTAGCATCAAATTACATCTACATTACACAATTCTCTATAATACATTATTTTGGCCCTGCGGGCTCTTCGTAACTCATAACTGCAGCCGCTACTCGCGCGGCCGTTTCGCTGGGCGCTCGTCATCAAGTAGAAACTGCAACGTGCCGCGCTCCCGCTTCGCCTCCGAGTGGG